TGTCACCTGCTCTCTGCTCACTGAAGAATGAGAGCTGAGCGATCTGCAGTCTTTGATTGCTTAGTCCTTAATGTAGAGCCAGTGAGAAGTACTGAATTGATGCTGCAGCCATCTAGCTGAGTATGTATGTTTTTCTTGTAAACCTGCACTTGTCTTTTAATAAGGGCATAGCCAAAGGGCTGTCTTTCAAAGGTCATGTGGAGCCAACAGTTCTTGCATGCAGACTCTGCAGCCAGCACGTTAGCCAAAATGTTGATGTACCGAACACATTCACACGCCTAGTATTTCAGCCCAGTGTGAAAGGCTGATCTTGATAGCTGCGGGAGAGAGGGGAAAAAAGCTTAGCAATATAGTTAAGACTTCTCTCAGGCTGAGCTAAAGAGATCATGCCAAACTCTCCTTGGATACTAGCAAAAAAAACTAAACGAAAACAAAAAAAAAACAGGACTCCTGAGGGATTATACTGGGCCGACATATTGATTTTGTTTGCCAGTGTCTAATCCTCCTGCAGGTGGCTGTATATCCTAACAGTACACAACTTCACCTGTCCCTTAATGGATGAGAAAAGAAATCAATTTCAGAACCTCAGGTCTGGTCTTTGGGGTTCACATGTATACACAATAATATGGTTGCCTGGGCAGATTGCCGCAGAGACGTAACGTACGTAGAGTTGATGTAATCAATCTGAAAACACATCTGCATCAAATGGTCCCTCGGCAACAATTTGGAAGCAACTACACGTTTAGCAGAGGTATGCAAAAACACAAGTATATACCCACCTTTAAAGACCTGTAAAATAGAAAAATCACTAATGATTCTGACAGCTGAAACTCACCTGCCCATGAAAGAAATAGAGAACCTGACAATTCTGACCTCGCCTGAAAACATTACTTGCCTGGATGTCTTACTGGCCCTCTTTACTTTTAAACTTTGAGTTACTGACTCATAACATGTACAAAAAAAAAGGACTTCTGACTTTTCTCTGAAACTCCTGATCTACATACAGTGGATATAAAAAAGTCTACACACCCCTGTTAAAATATCAAGTTTTCTGTGATGTAAAAAAAATGACAAAGATAAATCATTTCAGAACTTTTTCCACCTTTAAAAGTCACCTATAAACTGTACAACTCAGTTGAACAACAAACTGAAATCTTTTAGGTGGAGGGAAGTAAAAATAAAAAACTAAAATAATATGGTATGGCATAAGTGTGCACACCCTTAAACAAACTAATACTTTGTTGAAGCACCTTTTGATGTGATTCCAGTCTTTTTGGGGAGGGGTCCATCAGCATGGTATATCTTGACTTGGCAATACCTGTATTTGCCGGCGTATAAGACGACTGGGCGTTTATAAGACGACCCCCTACTTTCCTGTTAAAATATAGAGTTTGAGCTATACTCGCCGTATAAGACTACCCCTCTTCCAACGCGCGCCCATCATTGGTGTCAGTGGGGAGGAGGAATAGTGCCCCATCATTGGGTGTCAGTGGGGAGAAGGAATAGTGGCCCCATCGTTGGTGTCAGTGGGGAGGAGGAATAGTGCCCCATCGTTTGTGTCAGTGGGGGAGGAATAGTGCCCCATCATTGGTGTCAGTGGGGGAGGAATAGTGCCCCATCATTGGTATCAGTGGGGGAGAAAAGTGCCCCATCATTGGTGTCAGTGGGGGGGAATAGTGCCCCATCATTGGTGTCAGTGGGGGAGGAATAGTGCCCCATCGTTGGTGTCAGTGGGGAGGAATAGTGCCCCATCATTTGTGTGTCAGTGGGGGAGGAATAGTGCCCCATCATTGGTGTCAGGTGGGGAGGAGGAATAGTGCCCCATCGTTAGGTGTCATGGGGGAGGAACAGTGCCTCATCGTTGGTGTCAGTGTGGAGGTGGGAAATAGTTGCCCCATCGTTAGTGTCAGTGGGGGAGAGGACGGCTGCTCCTTCTTTCAGTTCGGGTGGCCGCTTGATTTTCACGGGGCGGTTCGGCTCCGCCTCCTCGCCGGTGATTGGTCGCCTGTGTGCCTTTCCAGTGCTGCGGGCCCAATCACCGGTGAGGAGGCGGAGCCGAGCGGGCGCGGCGGCGGACCATCGAGCGGCTCCCGAACTGAAAGAAGGAGCAGCCGCGCTTTCCTGGAACCGGATCGTCGTGGGACCGGGACCGGAGCCAGGTAAGGTACAGCCGCAGCCCCTCTGCCCACCCCTGTACTTGGTGTCCGTTGACCTTCGAAAAAGTGCCGCCCTGACACCGGCTCGCCGTATTTTTACCGGTGTATAAGACGACCCCCGATTTTTCAAAAGATTTTCACGGGTGAAAAGTCGTCTTATACGCCGGCAAATGCGGTATTTGCCCACTCTTCCTTGCAAAAACACTCCAAATCTGTCAGATTGCGAGGGCATCACCTGTGCACAGCCCTGATCACCCCACAGATTTTCGATCGGATTCAGGTCTGGTCTCTGGCTGGGCCATTCCAAAACTTTAATCTTCTTCTGGTGAAGCCATTCCTTTGTTGATTTAGATTTATGCTTTGGGCCGTTGTCATGCTGAATTAATTTCCTCTTCATGTTCAGCTTTCTAGAAGCCTGAAGGTTTGTGCCAATATTGACTGGTATTTGGAACTGTTCATAATTCCCTCTACCTTGACTAAGGCCCCAGTTCCAGCTGAAGAAAAACAGCCCCAAAGCATGATGCTGCCACCACCATGCTTCACTGTGGGTATGGTGTTCTTTTGGTGATGTTGCAGTGTTGTTTTTGTGCCAAACAAATCTTTTGGAATTATGGCCAAAAAGTTCAACATTGATTCCAGCAGACCACAACACATTTTCCCACGTTTTTGGAAGACTTCAGATGTGTTTTTGCAAAATTTAGCCGGGCTTGGATGTTTTTCTTCATAGGAAAAGGCTTCCGTCTTGCCACTCTACCCCATAGCCCAGACATATGAAGAATACGGGAGAATGTTGTCATATGTACCACACAGCCAGTACTTTCCAAATATTCCTGCAGCTCCTTTAATGTTGCTGTAGGCCTCTTGGCAGCCTCCCAGATCATTTTTTTTTTCTCATCTTTTCATCAACTTTGAAGGGACGTCCAGTTCTAGGTAATGTCACTGTTGCGCCATATTTTCTCCACTTGATGACGACTGTCTTCACTGTGTTCCATGGTATATCTGATGCCTTGGAAATTCTTTTGTACCCTTCTCCTGACTAATACCTTTTAACAATGAGATCCCTCTGATGCTTTGGAAGCTCTCCGTGGACCATGGCTTTTGCTGTAGGATGCGACTAAGAAAATGTCAGGAAAGACCTACTAGAACAGCTAAACTTTATTTGGGGTTAATCAGAGGCACTTTAAATGATGGCACGTGTGTACTTGACTCCTATTTAACATGATTGTGAATGTGCTTAATTCTCAACACAGCTTCATCCCCAGTTATAAGAGGGTATGCACACTTATGCAACCACATTATTTTAGTTTTTTTTATGTTTACTTCCCCCCCTAAAAGATTTCAGTTTGTTTTTCAATTGAATTGTACAATTTATAGGTAACATTAAAGGTGGAAAAAGCTCTGAAATTATTTATCTTTGTCTAATTTTTTTACATCACAGAAATCTGACATTTTAACAGAGGTGTGTAGACTTTTTATATCCACTGTACTTGTTTCAGATTAGAGACTTAAAATACTGATGACTGTAGGATAGCAGTTAAACCAGAAAATTGGTATTTTCAAAAAGAAGTCAGCAATGGTAGTCCCCTACTATAACTTGAGAGACACTGTCACCTTGTGTCCAGCGTCACCTTGTGTCCAGTAGTGTTAAGTCCGTAAATGTGCAAAGTTACAGTGTGTTTATAGTTAACAGTAGTGATTATGGGGGAGACATTGTACATGTGGCAGTACAGATCTGCATATATGGCTGCAGTGGGGAAGGGACGCTTAGAAGTTGTATATATTACTGCCACTAGGGTTAAAAAGAAAACTGTAAAAATCATGGCTGTAAATAGTGGTGCTTTGAATCAATTTCATACCAAGTTTAAAGTTTCTTTGTTTTGGCTGTCTAGATTTAGGGAAAAGTTGTAATAGGCTGTGCTATGCTTTGCTTTGGTGGTGAACGTAGCTTACAGTTCATCATTGCATTTCCACATAAGAAATCTGTGCACTCTCCTCGTGCTATTACAACTCTGACAATAAAAAAAAAAGACACAAAAACCAGACAGTCCTTCTGCCATACTAATGTATTCCATCTTTCAAAAAGAAAGAACTGATTTTAATATTACTTAACAATATGTTAAAAAAGTAGCCACTTTGGCGTCAGTGTTAATACAATTATACACTCTATAACAGATTGATAGTGTGAGTATTTTTTTTCCTTTTTTGTTTTTTTTGTATCCTCTGTTACTTTCTCATTATGCATGTATTCTTACACAAGCTGGCTACAAGAGTCTGGAGGGAAAAAAAAAAAAAAAGATCAGAACACAAATAAGCGTAACTAGTACACTTCTTTTCGACAGTAGATTGTGTGAATTGGAGAAATGTTTGTCTGTTATGAGATCATCTTCCACCGTGACAATTGGGGAAGGGAGGACTAAGTGAGCACAATGGATTCCATTACAATCGCCAGTAGTCTGTGTAATCGAACGTAGAGCACTGCAGAGGTGACATGGACCAATGTGGAGGATGCAACTAGCTTTTGTTTTATGCCTCTAACCAACCCAAAGAACCATTCTCAAGTCTGAGGCCAAGGCAATTAAAGAGGAGAGCGTATTGCTACAACCAAAGTCTTACTCACAGACTACAAGCACACAAGCTAACAAATTCAGGTAGAAAGTGGCATATTCATTTTTTTCAGATCAGCAAGACTCATCAGGCCAAGGGGGTTCAGTGCAGATCCACACAGCACTGGGGACAAGGCAAGGCAGTACTGGCTCAAGGCCTGAAAAAGCACTCAGAACAGCAGGGCATAATTCAGTGGGATTGGTTCCTGCAGGGTGAGCCCCCGTCTTAATGGTTCTTGGTTCAGTGTGCAGCATAGGTGGTCTTTTTCAGGCTGAAGTTGGACCAATTGATTGACAGTCTTTGCCTAGTTTGCCGAGCAGAGTCTAAGCAGAACCTGCAAGAAGACAAAAAAAAACAATACAAACTGAACACAGGCAAATTCACTGACACTTCAAAAGCTGGATTACAGAATAACAAACATAAACTTGAGTTTTTCTGCATCTATTTCTGTAAAGGCACAAAGAATAACAATTGTTCTCAATGTGCCCTGTTCACATCAGAACACTAGTATCATGTGTGGATTTTTTCTGAGCTGGAATCTGCAACGCGTACGTAGTTTTCTGCAAGGAAAAAAAACGGATGTCAGAGAATTCTCTGCAACAGTCGTTCTCTATGTCCCCTGTTCACATCACAATATTGATGCAGAAAACGGCATACAAGTTGTAGATTCTGGCACAGAAAAAATCCACACATACTAGTGTTGGGAACAGGGCACATAGAGAATTGTTTTCTTTGTGCTCTTGCAGAGAATTTATGTTACATATTTCTGCACAGAAAAAAAACTGATTTGATAGCAGTGTTATGGTGCGAACAGGGTACATACCGAACAATGGTGCTCTTTGTGTCCTTGCAGAAACTTACATAATAAATATGCGCATCTCTGCACATGGTGTGAACAAGCCTATGCAATTCAAATCTGTATGTTTTTACCATCAGTTTTTATGCACATATGGTATGAACGATGCAGATAAGAGTCTGTAGATAAAAAAAAAACTGTTCAACTTTGACTAAAGCGGAATAATATCCTTGCTATAGGTGCAGGTCATTTACGTACCTCATTAAGCCTGATTGGAAAACTTCCAAGAGTGCTTCAATGTTTGCTAAGAGAGGCCTGGCTGTTCCTGTTCACTTTCACCATCACAGGAGTGAGCTCTCAAATGCTGAGCTCAGAGCTCCTCCATCATGGGGGAGAAAGTGCATGTGGGGGTAGTTGAATCAGAGAAAGCTCACTCCTGTCATGGTGAACAATAATAGCTGGGCCTCTCTTAGGAACGTCTTTGGGGTCTGACAGTCAGGCTTGATCTACACCTATAGCAAGGGTATTATTCAACTTAGTTTTATTGGTAAAGGTGAACTATGCCTTTAATGAGCTTGGGTATAAACAAAAAATATTCTAGACTTTCCAACAGTAAAGCTGTTGGACATTTACGAGTCTGCTTCTGAGGCTTTGAGGATCACTGCTATACCAAATAGTTCTTCCATAAATACAGTACAGTGACTGAGCATTGTCACCCTACCATAGGAAGGGTGTTGTCAAAACGTTTACCAGATGATAGTATAAGGAAAAAAGAAAAACTAATGTAGCCACCACATCTAAGGTATGATAACCTGAAATAAAATACATTCTTGTTCTTAGGTTTTGATACATTTTAAAAGCATAGCTACCTCACAAAATGTTTTATTCCTACAAAATAATCTTTGCAATGTTAAATGCTGCATATTGCTTACTTTTTAACACAAGTTCATCTTTATAGTTTAGAGTAGAGTACATAGTGATGGGATTTTATTGCCACCTGTTATTTCACTGGGGAGATATACTGTCACTTTTTGTTCATGTTCTCACCAGAACAGAAAGTGATGGAAATGATAAGGTCCCATTTACACTACCCTGACAACTGCTGCGCACTAAATCGCAGTGGTTTAGTATACAGCAGCTGTCCATCCCAGCTGCAGAGATCCAGCGGTAGGGGCAGTGTGATGTGCAGTTCAATTCATCACACAATTCCCCTACATTGACGCAACTTTATTTGAAGTGACAATTCAGTGACATGTGATACCGTTCTGTGCTCTGTGATAAAATGCAGCATGTGTGCATTGTACTGCAGTTCATTGCAGTGCAGTTCCAGGCTGTGTGAAAAGGACACATAGAAAACCATTGTTTTCTGTGTGTCCTAGCAGTGACTGACTTGTGCAGTCCAGTGCAGAAAAACACTGCTCACTGCACTATATGTGAACTTGGCCTAAAATATTAAAATCATCACAGAAACAGAGTGAATATTTTAAAATAGGGACGACTATGCCTGTGACTAGTGGCAAAGGTAGGAGTTTCACTTTACTTTGATAAGATTTCCCCTCACTTTTAGCTGTGGGTCTGGAGAGCAGAAAGTGGGGTGAAATCACTCCAATGGGGGCACAGGCACCATACAAATCCTAACTTCTACTTCTCTTGTTCTGTATGACCTTTTGCAAAATTTCCACTTTAGGCCTGCTGCACACAGGAGTAAAAAAATGCTTTTTTACTGCATTGTTGTCTATGGGACAGTGCACACAGGTGAGCAAAGATCAAATAAAGAGTACAGATCTGTAAATCAAAAATAGAACATTTTTCATTTGAATGCAGTCATTTACTTGCGTGTTTAAGCCCCTTGCACACTAGCGTCATAATTTACTGATGTTTACTCAAGAACTTGTGATGCTCATGTGCAAGGCGCCCCAATACTGGCAAGGAAGAAAAATCTTACTTGTCTATACTCATATATACACTTACACACTTTTACTCGCCTATAAAACATTACTCAGGTCACACAGTTTTTGGCCTCTTGCACAAGGGCGTCACAGGTTCCAGAGTAAACATCAGTAAATTATGACGCACGTCTGCAAGCAAGGATTGTATTGGTTAAAAAAAAATACAGCGGAAAGGAAAGGAGGCACTTGCCTTCCTTCCAAGCACCTGCAGCATAAAGCGTGTATTTGGTTGAATCAGGGTGGATAAAAATCAATGATTTTTTTTTTAAAAAAAAAAAAAAAAAAAAAAAAAAAAAAAACGGATTTTTTTAATTTAAATCGGATTTTTTAAAATAAAATGCTTTTTGAGGAAAATATATTACCATCCAAAGGTTATTCCATCATGAAATAAAGATTAGTTTTTTAATTATGTAGAATAAGGCTGTATATGTTTAATTTTTTTGGTAAATAAATTCCATGAATCCATTCACAATGTCATGCTCTTCCAGAGGTTTTTGTAAGATTATTGGGCAGTTTCTCTGCCTACAAGATATGATCACAGATGCTTGGTTTACTTTTGCAGTTCTCAAAATGAATTTGACTCAGCGGAGATCACATGCCTCTTCTTCACAGCAAAAATGTTATAACATGAACAGAGTTAAGAAAAAGACCTTCATCCTAACTTCTACAAACCTATGAATACAGAATCAACCCCTTCAGTGCTAAGTTTCAAGAAGTTCAGTGAATAGAATAGAAACAATATTTTTCTGATTGTTTGGAGTGGAATAGATCTGCACAAGAAGAAAGTGAAACTAAGTGTGAGGAGGAGGAAGGGGCTGACAGTCTAAGTTTCTTAAAATATATATATTTTGTTTAGCCAAATTAGTTAAAAACATGGACGTTTGTTTAAGCAAATAACATATGCTGGAATGTTATTGTTTCAGTTGAATAAATCTATTTAAATTGTTATTATTAAGGTAATGATTATTTTTCTCCTTCCTAAGTACAACAGAAAAGTTGTCCAAATATGAATGATTAACCTATTAAACTGGGGATAAAAAAACTAATATGAAAAGTTGTTATTCTAAAAATCTTCATCTACTTGCAAATTAAAGTTATACCAGCAAGAATGTCTTTATGTAGAAAACTAGGATTTAAATCAAGCCTTACTGACTAGTGATTTAAATCGTGATTTAAATCAAATCCACCCTGGGTTGAATTAATAATTACATACAAGCATTGAGTGACGATGCCTAGCAGGCTGCAGCATCATCACTTATCTCCTCAATGCTCACCTAGCTTTAAAGAAACTAAATGTCTCTTTAGACATCCTTGGTGAGGTAGAAGGAATTTCAAATACAAGTATTTGTGAACTTGTACAGTATAAAAGATCACTATACACCAGCCAGTTTACTTTCCCAGGCAAAGTTAAATTCACCAAGTTGACTTGCGTATTTGACATTTACCTTTTAAAATATTCTACTTCTCTTTCAGTCTCATCCATGTCCACGCTATCAAGGTCAATGTCTTTTGGAAGAAATACATCATCTAGAAATCAACACAAGTGACTGTTTAGTCTACAAACACAACAATGGCACAGACAGCAATCAATGTGATGGCAAAACAAGCAGCAGGTATTCACATTGAAATTTAAAAGAAAGCTGTAGACTTCCACAAAATACAATACTGTCACCTCCCCAAAAGCCTGTCAGTAAAGCCTCAAAGTCTAATCTAACACAGAAAATTCTAAAACAGGTACATCATCTAACTGCAAATGACACCTCATCTGCAGGCAATGATAGGTGATACTTTTGATCTCTGAAGTAGCACTGCAGCTTTCAGTGGATGCTGTGAAAATGCTATAAAGGACAGGACTTAGAATGTAGAAGAATGGGCTTAAAATGGAAGAGGGACTTTGTGAGAAAAGGACTTTAGTATATTTGTGCCATATCAGTTATTACTTCATGTGTGCTGAGGAGTTCTAGACCCAATACAATGGGGCTACCATACAGGCGCTAAGATAAGTAATTCATTTGTCTGTGCTTGCAGCAGCTCCAAGGGTTGAAAATCCAGAGCAGACATCTGTCAATATCTTAACCATTTCCAGTGCGGACACTTTTACCCCCTTCCTGTCCGGGCCAATTTTCAGCTTTCAGTGCTATCACACTTTGAATGACAATTGTGCGGTCATGCAACATTGTACCCATATGAATTTTTTTGAGACAGATAAAAGTTTATTTTGGTGGCATTTATTCACCACTGGGATTTTTATTTTTTTTGCTATATAAATAAAAGTCCACAAATTTTTAAAAATTAGTGTTTTTCTTATAAAATTTTGCAAATAAATAATCTTTCTTCATAAATCTTGGCCAAAAAAAATAACCCAAATTAGTTTATAACCAAAAATTATAATTTTTCAAACTTTATTTTACATTTTTATATTAAAATTTGTTTGTTTTGTTTTGGTTTTTTTTTTTTAACATACTTTCACCCTAGCAGTACAGTCACCATAGTGACTACTTGTGGGGGGTGATGAAGATTTTTTTTTTTTTTTTTACACTGATTGCTTTTACCCCCATAAAGGATGAAAAATAAATAACTTCTCCTTCTCTCTGGCTGCATTCTTGCAGTCATTGAGAAATACTGTGAGAGCTGTGATTGGTCACAGCTTGTCAAATGATACAAGGCTGTTGTGACCTCTGGGATCATTCACAGATTTCACTAGTAGTAAGCAATGATGTCAGAAGTGACATCTTGTTTACTACTATTCATGTGATCACTGATTGGCCAATCAGTGATCACATGATCGGGACCTCACACAGAGATCCCATACAGAGATCGGGGAGCATGCACAGCCTGAAAATGTGGGCGCCGTTTATGAACGGCAACCCGCTCCTACACTGCTCCTGTCCAGCCGTTTATGTACATGGGCCGGACGGGAAGTGGTTAAAACGCTGAATTCTAACAAAAATTGGCCAACCAGCATATACGTTTTGCCAGAAAATGTAAGCTCTTTTGGAACTTGAAGTTGTTTGAAGGCTTTTCTCTCTCAATCTCTCTCTCTATGTGTGTATATATATATATATATATATATATATATATATATATATATACCGTATTTGCCGGCGTATAAGACGACTGGGCGTATAAGACGACCCCCCTACTTTTCCTGCTAAAATGTAGTGTTTGGGCTATACTCGCCGTATAATACTACCCCTCTTCCAATGCACACCTGTGGGAGGAATAGTGCCCCCATCATTGATGTCAGTGGGAGGAATAGTGCCCCATCATTGGTGTCAGTGGGAGGAATAGTGCCCCATCATTGGTATCAGTGGAAGGAATAGTGCCCCATCATTGGTATCAGTGGGAGGAATAGTGCCCCATCATTGGTATCAGTGGGAGGAATAGTGCCCCATCATTGATGTCAGTGGGAGAAATAGTGCCCCATCATTGGTATTAGTGGCAGGAATAGTGCCCCATCTTGGCATTAGTGGCAGGAATAGTGCCCTATCATTAGTATCAGTGGAGGAATTGTGCCCCATCATTGGTGTCAGTGGGAGGAATAGTGCCCCATCATTGGTATCAGTGGCAGGAATAGTGCCCCATCATTGGTATCAGTGGGAGGAAATGTGCCCCATCATTGGTATCAGTGGGGGGAATAGGTGCCCCATCATTGGTGTCAGTGGCAGGGGTGCCCCATCATTGGTATCAGTGGCAGGAATAGTGCCCCATCATTGGTGTCAGTGGGGAATGGTGGGTGTCAAATAGTGCCCCATCATTGGTGTCAGTGGGGGGGGGAATAGTGCCCCATCGTTGGTGTCAGTGGGGGGGGGGAATAGTGCCCCATCGTTGGTGTCAGTGGGGGGGGAGGAATAGTGCCCCATCGTTGGTGTCAGTGGGAGGAATAGTGCCCCATCGTTGGTATCAGTGGGAGGAATAGTGCCCCATCATTGGTATCAGTGACACCAATGATGGGGCACTATTCCTCCCACTGAGACTTGCTGACCCTGTTCTCGTATGGTGCTGCTGCAGCCAGCATATGTGGTTGCAGCAGCACCTCTACACAGAACACTTACCTGCTGCTCCGGCACTCAATTTTCGCGGGGGGCCGCTCGGCTCCGCCCCCTCGCCGGTGATTGGCCGCCTGTGTGCCTTTCCTGAGCTACAGTTCTGGCGGCCAATCACCGGTGAGGAGGCGGAGCCGAGCAGCCCGCACGAACATCCAGTGGCCGAACTGAAGGAGACGCCGCGCTTCCTGGACCGGATCGTCGTGGGACTGGATCCAGGTAAGAGACATCAGCCCCTGCAAACCCCTGTACTTAATGCCGCAGCCCCCCTAACATGTGTACCGGCGTATAAGACGACCCCCGACTTTTGAGAAGATTTTCAAGGGTCAAAAAGTCGTCTTATACGCCGGCAAATACGGTATATATATAAAAACATGCAGAGAACACAGCGCTACAGACTTGTAACTTCTTACCAATTGAGTTATTGACTTTGTCTCCTTTCTTCTTCTTATTCCTTTTGCTCTTGCCCTTGGGCTGTGGTGACTCAGCGGTGGTCTGGATCTTGTTGTTCTGCTGTTCGCTGATTATGGTGGACTCACTAACTGCAACCGGCTTCTCCTCCTTCATGTGATTCAGCTGCTTCTTGTGGTTACCGTTGCTGCTCTTTTTCTCTTCCTTCTTCTGTTCAACCACAGGTGTAATATCCAGCGCTCGGGCTTTGATTTCGTTTTGGGTCTTGGGTTTTTGTGAGACTTCGGGGAGTCTGGGTGCATCCAATTTCTTCACCTGTTCTGGACTGAGTTTTGGAACATGTGGTTTAGGTTGCTTCTGTTTGACATGATTTTCCTTGTGATGGACCAAATCCAGAAGAAGAGAGAGCTGCTCCTGCTGCTTTGCCTTCAGCTCTTTAGCAGCGCATGGCTTTGAGTCTCTACCGTTAGCATGATTTGGTAACTCATTTACTGCCTCTGGTAACAGAACTAGCTCAGTTTTTTGAGTCTGCCTGATAGGGAGTGGAACACACATTGTATCCTGCTCCAAAGTGCCATTGGGAAGTGCCTCAATATTAGGTTCTTTAGTGGGGACACAGATAGGTGTCAGCTGATCTAACTTATGAGTGTCCCTATTAGATCGATCTTTTTTCTTTTTCTTCAGGGCCTGACATTCTTGATGTCGCTGAAATTCCTGTTTTAACCTTTCCTCATCCTCGCGCTGCCTTTGCTCTTCAAGAAGCTGTACTACTTCTTGTTCTCTGGCTTCAGCTTCCTGCCGTGCCTTTTCTTCCAGCTGAATATAAAGGAAAATTAGACATAAATATATTAATAAATATCTTATACAAGACAGGTGTTTATGCTTGTAAGTGCACTCTAAATTGAATAGCATAATTTATATTTCATTAGGGGGGTGTCTAAATTGGAGACTTCAAAGCTTCCTACATCTATGGCAGCCTTATTACTCCTATAGAAACCTTGCAATAATTTCCAGGTTCTCGTAACCCCTGATACATAAGAATATACCTACAGCTCACAGTAAATTAGCGTGAGCATTAAAGTGTAAAATGTTTTAAATAAAAGAATGTTTGTACCTATGGGCTTATTTGAAACCCATGGCAAATAATATTTTTAATACCCCCCCCCCCCCCCCCCCCCCCCCCGCAAAATCATTTTAATTGATATTTAAATAAAATGAACAACATAAAAGAAACACAAACAGTAAAAATTGCAGTGTCATCTAACATCAGTGGTCAGTGTAGAAGTGACGCCTTACATTGATGGTAAGAGGAAAATTGTCCCCTTGAATTGGTGGTCAGTGTAGGTGGGAAATCAATTCACCACTGATCAATGCTCAAGGAAGTCCGAGCAAATTCAACATGAACTCTGGTTGAGAAACACAGTTATGGACACATCCCAGTCCCTTGTGAGCATACAAACAATGTACCGCTACAAACATTAGTTATGGTGTGTAATGCATTCTGTGCAGAAAGTATAAAGTATAGGTGCAAAAGATTTTTTTGTTATGTACATAGTGTGATCTACTACAATATCAAAACTGAAGGTTTTTTTTTTTTTTTTTTTTAAATTTAGGATGTTTCTAATCACCATAATAAAGCATACACTGGATTTCTTATTCACCTGGAGGCTCCAGCAACAAGAACTAGTTGCTGGAGCTCCTAGTTGCAGGCCCAATACCCCAAACTCTCTCCACATTTTACCACAATTAGCTTTAATAGGTTTTAGTTATTTATAACCTGTTCAAATGCCAATTAAAATGTCCCCCCCCCACCATCCCAGAATTTTTGTCAGGTTCCAAATGAGGTCTATGACCCCACTAGGAAAAACTTCTCTTACTTCCCTGGCTGTTACACCAAGACAAGAAATAAAGGCGTGAAGGTGAACTTGGAACAGGCAGACTCAGACAAAAACATGACGGAAGTTTTAACGTCTCCACACTCTGTTGATGCTGTTGCAAATACAAGAGTTTGGAAGATTTCCTAGCATCTCATGTTTCTGTGACATCTGAACATCAGGGCAAATAGTAAGAGGAAATCTCCTGAGTGGGGACATACGAAGCAAAATAATATAACTTGTGAGTTCAGCTATACCACATGTTGCAGGAAAGAAAATCACTCAAATCTCATCACAGTAGTGTTGATAGGGGAATACCTCCCGCAGAGCTACTGTGTTCTCCCGGCAGGGGAGACGCAGGGGGGAGCAATCCCCATCAGGAGAACAGAGTGATTATTGCTAGCAGTCTTAGCCACTGGCAAAAATCACATGAAAAATCCAACAGGCTGGTTGTACCCAAGTCACAGAACAATTGATTTGGGTACAATCAGCCTGCCTATAGATGGATCAAATATTGACCGATTCAGCAGGGACCAGCCGAGATTCTAACTATCTATGGCCATCTTAGATGGTCATCTACTGCGCAGGTGTACGATCTATGGCTATTTGATTAAAAAAATGCAGTCAGTCACAGGGTGAGCATGGGAAGTTGCTTGGTGCAATCAACTCATTCAAAACCCTGTCAGACCCAAGACCTATATGCAATGTAAAACAAATCTTTCTACTCTACTACTAAAATGTTCTTAAGCTCCATGCACACTAGTATTTTTTTTAAGTAAAAGTGTTCAGAAGCATTAGCTTTTTATTAGCATTTTTACAGTACATGTAGAAAACATTACAAAAAAGCTGTTAGGAGCGTTTTAGTAGCATTTAGCAGCATTTATTTCTGCTGGAAAAACGCTGCAAAAACTCTACAAAAACAATTTTTTTTTCGCTCAGACGCTGAAGCTCTAAAAATGCTAATAGCCTAAAGTAGTGTGCATGGGCACATAGGAGAACACTATTTTGCTTTTATGAGCAGGAACAAAAATGCTAATAACAGTTTCTAGGCACTTAAAAACCACTCCTGTGTATGGAGTCTAGGCCTAAAACAGCAGTATCGCATAGGGGTTCATTTACTAAAATTGGAGAGTGCAAAATCTGGTGCAACTCTGCATAGAAACCAATCAGCTTCCAGGGTTTTTTTTTTTTTTTTTTTCTGTCAACGCTTAATTGAATAAACTGAAGTTAGAAGCTAATTGGTTTCTATGCACAGCTGCACCAGATCTTGCACTCTGTCCAGTTTTAGTAAATCAGCCCCATAATATTTATAAACAAACTGGGTAAAAGGAATACTCTTGAACACTGCTGTCGAATTTTCTAACAACATTCCAATACTTATGTAGCCTAAATGTGGGATTCAAGTGATTGGACTGAGATGTGATCAGTAGCAATATGTAATTGTAAATTTAGTTTCATTCCTTGTTATTAAAGATGTATTCAGTCATATATTCAGTCATATATATTCAGAGACATGGTCACCAATTAGCATCTGAAAGAGACAGAGCTTCCTCAGGCTGTCAATAGTCAATCGCCAATTGTGTGTCTTCTTGTTTTTTTGTATTTTCTGTAACTTTTTATACTTTGCACATATTTTATGCCCTGCCCACTTTCGGGATATTAAATCATAAAATTAATAAGTGACTTCTGGGTACTTAAGCTCGGGCTCATATCTCCAGAGAGATTGTATCGTATTGTATTGTATTGTATTGCAGTGTCTTTATATGCTCGGTCAAGTTCATTGCCAATCTGTATGCAATTGCACTGTGTGTTGGCACATTGCACGCAGATTGTAAACAGGTCTGCCAGAGATCTGTGTGTGTGTGGTGGCCCAACAGGCCAGTAAAACTGTTGGGTGGTGGCAAGCTACCATTTGTGGTGTGTCTGGTGCGGGGGGGTGTGGACAGTGGAAGAGTGATTAACACCGGGGTTCTAGCTTGTAGAATAGCTGGAGGAATCCTAGAAAGGTGTGCGATCGCTAGGCTGCTCCTCAACCCTTAGTGTGCACCAGATTGTATATAAGATTCGTGTCTGCCTGTGTGTGTGGTCAGCCAGCTGGATTGGTGGCTGGATTAGCTCTAGTGGTGGCCAGAGGTAGTGCGGGCTGTTAAAGTATATCACTGCCGGTCTTATATACTTATATATATTCAGATTAAGTCCCCCTTATTCCCTCTTACCCCAAGGTACGGCCGCACCTTGGTTAGCCAGTCGCTGTGGGCGTATGCGTGTGGGGTGGATCTGTGACAACTTAGAAAATTGTCAGGACTCCCTTTATGGTGCATTCACACCTGTCAATGGACCCAACTCTGATTACATGCAAGAACCCCAGCAGGGGCTCCGGGCAATTAACTGTAGGAAGCAGCCCCATTGAAAGAAATGGGAGGCTGCTGGCTCCAGCAGCTCACTCATGCAGTGATCACATGCAAGTGATTGACTGTGGACCCAGGCAGCCTGCATCCAGGGCGACCAATCACACGTGAACGCTGCATGAGAGATTACATGCTAGTGGCTGTGGTTAGCTGCCGAAGCAAGCAGCCTCCCATTGCTTTCCATTGGGCTGCCTCCTGCAGCTAATTGCAAGGAACCATGACTGAAGTTATGGCATGTATCTGGCGTCGGTGATTTTGCAGAGGGCTAAGCAAATATGAGTATGTATTCACTGCTAATGTAAGCAGTGGCTGGGGACTTTACTTTTATTTAATGGTTTCAGTTAGAAACATTTAAAAGATGTGTGTACCAATAAGTGATAAATAACTTTTGGGTGAGCACAGCAAAACTGAATCACTTGGGGCTTTTCATATTACTCTCCAGCAGAGATAAAATGAAAGACATTTGTCTCTCAATATATTATGGACTTCTAGGGAGAGATTAACGGGATTAGCCACCCTGCAAATCTGTCTTCAACATAAAAACAAACTGCAAGGTCAGGCTAAAAAAATATGTGACTGTACTACACAAATTCAATCTGGCAGCTCCTGTCTCCTCGAGCTACAGAACACTGAAACTTAACCACCTGTGATTCACACTTGTATACTCCTTGTGTAAAGAGCAGTTTTTACATTCCGCTATGGGCCTATTGATAGGTCAATATATACCATTAGATTCTGCTGAAGCCTGCCCTAAAACTGGTAATTCTAAAGTGTCAATCTCCTTAGTACCACCACAGCTCTCAATGAGTCCTCTTGCTGACCTCCATTCCACTACTTTATCCTGTAATGGAAGGAAATCAGAGGGTACAACCAGCAAGAGTTGCGGTGGACCCAAGATACTGACAGTCCCAGAAGCATCACTTTCAGTTCAGAATTTAGCAGAGGATCTCTCAGAAGCAAAGCACCTCTTACAGCAGGTTAGGTGAGCATGTCCTGTCTTCTTTTACAGGTACAGCTTACTTTAAATATTTTGTATTATATTGTAACAATATTGTTATAATGGATTTGAAGTGGCTGTAATGCTTTTTTGTCATCTAATTAAAATAACAAACATGTCATGCCTACCTGTTCTGTGCAGTGGTTTTGCACACAGCAGCCCCGATCCTCTTCTTTCCAGGTCTCCCGCCGGCGCTCCTGGCTCCTCCCTCCTGCTGAAGTACCCCCATAGCAATCTGTGTGGTCGCTCCTGAGCTGGCTGTGTGTCCATATGACATACGGAGCATGATTCTGCCCCGCCACCCACTCCATCCCTGTCTCCCGCTGCAGTGTCCAAGTCAATGAGGATGGAGAGAGCTGAGGGAGCCTCTGTTCTTGTGCATATTGCTGGCTCAAGATTGGGGCTCAGGTAAGCATGGGGGGGGGGGGTAGAGTTGCATACCATACTGAAGGTTTTTGGTTTCATGCATAGAATGCATAAAGGAGAAAAAAAACTTCATCCTTTAGAGCCACTTTAAATGAAGTCTGCAAACACCATGTCATACAAACACTGCTGTCAGCACGGGAGAGTAGGTCCAGGCTGTCCATTTTCAGCATTTCAGCAGGAGAAAGTAATTGGCAGAGGGGAGAAAAATGCTGGGTCTATGAAAGGTATTAAAGTGGAATTAAACTCGCCCTTTAGACTTTCCCTAATGTACAAGCTTTTAGTACCAGAGTGATGGAGAGAGAAATCAAATCCTTTTGGGGCTTCTAAAAAAAAAAAAAAAAAAGTGTTGAAAAACCATCTGATGAGGTCACTCACACATGCACACTGTAAAAATAGATTTGCGCCATCTTGGTCGTGCCAAGCTGCAGAGCACCCTATCTCTGACGAGGAGCTCTGCTCTGGTGATTTTTCTCTATCTTCCTGAAACCTCATGTGACTACTGATATCATATGGAATATATATAATATGGATATAAGAAAACTCCGCTTAAATTGCAATCTTCTTTTGATTTGATTTAAAGTGGTTGTAAACCCTTACATACAGTTGTGGTAAAAATAATAGAATTGAGTAAAGCTCAAAACAATAGCTTTTATTCCCATACACGCAAATGCATTGGAAACACTGCACAGTCTATTCCAAATCAAAACATGAAGAAAAATATGATTCAAATTCATTATTGCACTACAGAAAGTGCAGAAAAAAGGAATATTAGGCTGTTCAAAAAAATAGCAGTGTCTGTATTTTTCTTTACAAATTAAAACATTACTGTAAAAAACTGAAAAATGCTGGAAGATTTAGCTTTCCTTTGAATCACTGAACTAATATTTAGTTATATAAGCACTGTTCATGAGAACCACTTCACATCTGTGTTGCATGGAGTCTGTGTTTGTGGGTCATCTGACAAACTGTCTGCAGCCCCTTGATCCAAAAAGAACAATCTTGCTTTCATCAGTCCACAAAATGTTGCACCATTTCTCTTTAGACCAGTCAATGTGTGCTTTGGCAAATTGTTTCCTCTTTCAACAATGGAACTTTGTGGGGGCTTCGTGCCGATAGCTTGGTCTCACATTAGGCATCTTCTAATTGTTACAGTACTCACAGGTAACGTTAGACCTTCTTTGATCACCCGGGAGCGGATCATTGGCTGAGTCTTTGCCATTTTGGCTATTCTTCGATCCATTCGAATGGTAGTTTTCTCCCAGGGCTTTTTGGTTTTGGCTGCCATTTTAAAGCATTTGAGATTATTTTAGCCGAGCAGTCTATCAGTTTTTGCACTTCTTTATATGTTCCCTCTCCAATCAACCTTTTAATCAAAGTATGCTGTTCTTCTGAACAATGTCCGGAACGATCCACTTAACTCAGATTTTCAGAGGGAAATGCATTATACCCAGCATGTACAACACAGTTGGTGCCTTCGTCCTTAAATAAGGGCCATCTGTTTGACACCTGTTTTTTCACAGACTGAATGACCTCAATTTTTGAACTCCACACTGCTATTTTGAACATGTCTCTTTCAATTAATGATTCAATTACACAGAAACAGTAGCATGCATGGTCATGCCTGCTGGGTCTGTTGGTTTTCTATTACTCTACTACACCTACTAGTAAATTATTTGCCATGCAGAAATATAATTTATACCAAAAACAGTGATTGATCTAGTTATTGATGTTGGACTGCTATTATTTTGAACACAACAGTATAGCCAGTTAAGTGACTGACCTCAGGTGATAGAGATGAAACAAATGACCGCTCACAGGAACACAGCTAAGGCTGTCAACCTGCTGGAGTACCCCCGTCACCATTTTTCTCTTGGTGTCAGGAAAACTTATCAGAAGTGATTCTTGCAGTTAGAGGAACGAACCAGCAGACAATAATGACACTTTGTGCTCTGGATTGAGAAAAGTACACACTATAGAGGGATAGGCTTTGTTCATATTTCATGTCTGATGCTTACAACCACTTTAGGAGCCAATGATGTGATTGGAGGGCAGAAGCGGCGATAAGGGAAGGAATCACCAGAAAGCAACAAAAATGGTGCCGCCTTCAGCAGGGAATATTGTGCTGCATTTAAAAAATGTAATAATCATAATACTGTATAGACTTCTTAGCAAGCAATTGTTTATTCTTCTGAATGGGGTTATGTGTTTTAGTGGGGTTGAACGTAGGGTTTAATTCCACCTTAAGATTACTTTTTTAATGGTACTCTACACCCTGGAGTTCTCCAGCAATCGCTCGTTAGAGATTGAAGGGATCTTCCATACATCATGGCACAGATGAAGCCAATTTCTACATTACATTTGTGTGGAGAGCACCCTCACTGAAAAGAAGTTTAAATGAGAGACTCAAATAAGTTACACCAGCCTGCTTTAAACTATTTCCTAAGCAATGTTCAACTGGTCTGAACCAGAGTAATGGTTACAGCACATAGATGAGAAAATGAACTGCATCATTAATAAAAGTCCCACAGATGAAACTCAAACCAGACAAACCGATCAGATGCAACTGAAGAGGTGACATTTTTTTTCTTCTAATAGTTGTAATAAAATGTAAGAACACCTGTGACGGTGAGGTTAACCATCTTGACTGTGTCCATTAATCTCTTGGTTATAAGTCTTTTTATGGAGAAATATAATGATATGCAGACAATACAACTCACATCATTTTGCATAAGGTCAAAATAGCCTAGCAAAGGTGCCAGCAAGCATTACCACTTCTCACGGCAATATGGTTTAAAAATTAGAAAGCTTAAATCGGAACTAAAGTCTCACCATCACAAACTGCGAGCAGACAGGCTCTTTATTGTTGAAGAGACAAAAATTCTCTTCAGCAATAAAACAAACCAACCTGCTTGCTCGCTGTCTTCTCTGGCATAAGAACTGAGCTGAGCTACATATGCGCAACTCACGTTACATCACCAGCAAGGTCCTTGTGTGCCGGGATGACTGACCCTGTGCATGAGTGATGGTTTTGCTCCATTTTAATATTTCTGCTCTATATAGTTAAAATAAGTACAGTTAATTATTTGTGCAGCTTGGCAACTGTGTTATCACTATACAGTGATAACAAATAATGCACAGTGGATGCAAAACACATTTAAAACGTTATTTTTTTCCTTATATAAAACTACAATATGAAATATATCTAAAATCAGTTGACCTGAAACAGTTCTCATCTATAGAGTTGTCTAGTATGAATATCCAAGGTGACAAGCACACATCGAAAATACAAACAAACCCTTTAAGGAGATATTATTATTATACAGGATTTATAAAGTGTCAGCAGTTTGCGCAGCGCTTTACAAAATGAGATATCTGCAAACTTTATTATTACACCCCCACTATAGCACTAATTAACAAGCACAGCATATTTGATATTGACATGCGCTCATTCCAACACAAGCCTGAGTTGCTGAAATGGTGTATCTGGTAACAACAAATCTACATCTAGTGATGTTCTGAGCAACAGGATTTAAGGGAGGCGGTGCCAATACCTGTTGCTAAAATTAATGTGAATCTAAAGCCTAAAATAATCTTAATTTGTTCCCCAACTTGTTCACTCTCTTCCATATCCAGCTGTTCTGGGCTCCCTTCAGCTTGGCAATACATACAGACTGTGGTGGGGCAAATGGCCGGTGTCAAAAAGGAGAATCTTTGTTTAGGCAGAGCGAATGAACTACTGGTCATAACCTGGCAGGCAGAAATATGCTGCAGTGGCGATGTTTAGGTGTTGGCAGCTGAAGGTAGTTCAGAACAACTGGTACATTTACTGCTTTGCTGATATGGGTGGTCATAGGTTAGGATTTTTTTTGTCTTTAGGTCTGAAATTGATCTTGAAACTAAAACCCTGAAATGTCTTTCCCTCTGCACACTGACCACATCCTAACCCCTAAAATAACACAATGTTAAAAAAATCCCTTGTAACATCTGCCTTGAAATAGAGGTTTTTCTCAGCTTCCACAGTAGCCACCTACTGGCCACGTGATCTTAGCCAAGGATGGCCTGAGGGACTGATATGTAGATATAGCTAGCCAAAGAAAAGAGAGCTCTGTCCAAACTTTGGTCTCTTTACCTCAACTAAGATCATGTGGAAAATGCCATGATACCTGCAATGCAATCAGCTGTTTGCAAGTCTGCTTTGTTTAATAACTGGATTATAAACCCAATGTCACTTTTCCTGCTCCAGTTAGAAAATTAAAGCTTGCATTTGGTAGTCTGATCTTTTTATCTATCAGCTTAATTATTAAGAAGAAACAGTAGGACAGCAGATGTGGGTCATGTGTTGGTGTGGCAACATATTGCTTAACAGTGGAATCTTAGCTTAGTGATAGTCTAGCATAAATAAGATTTTTGTGTTCAAAGGCTGCTGGTACCTTGCACCTAATGATGCTCCCAGACACTGCTGGCCAAAATGCTAACCTGCTGCTTTTCCGGTCGTTCTCGGTCCGGCTCAGCTTCTGCTTTGTCAGTCTGTTCCTCAGCCGTGCTGGTGCAGGTTCCCTGCATGGTCCCCTCTGAGCCAAGCACATGGCTAACAATAATATTCATTGCTGGGCTCGCCCCATACTCCTATGGGGTAGCACATGGGTAATTGTATCATTAGAATGAATTAAAAAAGATAAAAAAAAAATGATGAAGCATTGTATTAGTAGCGGATTTAGTAAATAATATTTTTGCTGTGGAACGTGCTGACTACCACATGGAAAGATCTGGTTGTGAAAGGACAGTCCAGTTCCATTATGGAGGGCAGGTTCCAGCAGCACAGGCACAACAGGTCTGGCTGACATCCCAAATGTGCACTTTAAATGTCTGTATGTAAAAACACAACATGCCTGGAGATGTGTGTACTGCAAGACTAGTATTGTATCTAACGTAGTATTGTATCTAACTGGCTAACATGACTAATACACATGAATCAATAACAGCATGCACATTTAATGTCTTCCTATGTATAAAGCCAGTCTGCTTTCAAGTGTGACTATGTGGTAATTAATACTGCATTGGATAAAACAGGTGCTCACCTTCCTCTGCTTGTGCCTTGCACGCTTAGCCGCTCGCGAGCTGCTCACTGGCTTGGTCTCAGAGCTATTAATGAACTGTACTAGGTCTTCTACTTTCCGATGATCAACAACACCGGTTTCCCTTTCTGAGATTTGATCGGGCTTTTTGGGCTGCTCCTCTTTCCTCTTGGTCAGCCTGAGCCGAAGCTTCTCCCTCATTTCTGTGTAGTTCCTACTAGTTGGTGCTGATGGTGGCTAAATGTAAAGGAACAGAGTTAAAGTGTAAGAGCAAAATAAAACGATACATATAGGATGCAGTCCAGAACAGCACTAAAGTGTATCTAAATGTGGACAAAAATGTCTAGAATAAATAAAGGTTTTTTTTTCCCTTTTAGTTTTGGATAGAATGGAGAACAATTAAAAACACTTGTCAGGTTACTATTACTCTCTTTGTTCCTGGGAAGATTTCCCCTCTTTATTTGCTCTGTTTACCAATATCGCCAAAGGTGAAAGTGAAAGGAAATGCCAAATTTTGGGTTGTAAATAGAACAGGAATAGAGAGAAATCTTCCAGTAAGACTGGCCTGGTCTGGTGGCCTTGGTGAATTCATGGAAAGGTTATGCCCCAAGCTCAGGAATGTAAATGTGTACATTCACTCAGAGTACAATCTGTCTCTGGTGTAGTGTTAGAATGTTAAAAACCATCAAAAATAATGCTAACGTTAAGTGCCAAATATTGCAAAACAAATATTTAATGTATTTGTTAAAGGATAAGTTGACTCATGTTACTGCAGCTCTCCATCCAACCCCCCCACCTTACTGTGACAGCAGGCTGGAAATCTTCTCCAACACGTGCTGACACAATATGAAAACAGAGTGACTGTGTGTGCAAAGCCCCAAGAATTCTGTGAATAGACTACGAGTACCAACAGCCTTTGTAGTTCTCAACAAATTACGCGCTGGTGAGCATCTTCATAGTCCACTGATTCTTCCTGTGCTGGATGGGCAGACAGATACACTGATAGTCTGCAGGAGCCTGACATTGCACCTGCGATCTGCTGATTGCAGGCACAACGCTTTCCAGGCTGTGAAGAAAAAAACAAACATAAATACACTTTAACCTGCAAAAAACGTGCATTTATTTATTTAAAAAGTGAACTTATCCTTTAATAATGGATGTTTTTAATGCTGACTACTTTTGAGACAAACAGAGCAGTTTTTTAAGGCAAAAAATCATGTGGTATTTATCTCCCTGTGAATTGACCCCAGGAAGTGAAGGGAAATCTCTCCAATGAGACACAGAAGGCAAATAAAACTGACAAGGCCTTTTTCACTTTGCTAAAATTTGTGTTTTATTTAATGTTTTACTAAATCCTGACTTATCTGATCCTCCCCTTCTTCCAGTATCTCCCTCTTATCTCCTGATAAGACATATCGTGTGGAGTCATTCTGCACATGCTCAATTTCATGTGTATTGCTACAGAGGTTTTTTTCTTGGGAGAGTGCAAATGATCAGCACAGGGACAATCAGCACTGCCCAGACAGAGGTCACAGGTTCTGCATCCTCCTAGAGAAAACTCCTCCTACAAACTTTAACCAGTGCTCTGCTGGACATGGATAGCAGTCACGACTGCTCTAACTGCTGATGAGAAAAGGTATTTAGCAGTTTATATTTACTAATATAATTAAATTTCCATGTTTTATGTACTGTTGGAGACCAGATAGTGAATGCAGGGTCCTGGGTTTAGTATAACTTTAAGGATAGTGCTCATATGAAGCCATTTATTATCATATAATTGTTTTGCTCCTTTAATGAGACTTGTCAATGTGTTACCGGGCACATTGTAACCAGGCATTTTGTGGCATTGGCACAGGAAAGGCTTCTTTCTGGCAACTTGACCATTTTTGTTCAGGTATTGTCGTATTGTGCTCCTTCAAAACACCACCATCTTTTTGAGCAGTAAAGGCTTCTTTCTAAAAGCTTGACCATGCAGCTTATTTTCGTTCAAGCATCGTTGTATTGCACACCGTCTTTTTTGAGAGCAGCCTATATTCCTCTTCAGGGTTACCTGTGGTTTTTCTTTGTATCCCGGACAATTCTTCTGGCAGTTGTGGCTGCAATCTTTCTTGGTCTACCCGATCTTGGCTTGGTATCAGGAGATCCCCAAATTTTCCACTTCTTAATAAGTGATTGAACCGTACTGACTGGCATATTCAAGGCTTTGGACATCTTTTTATATCCTTTTCCATCTTTACAAAGTTCCATTACCTTGTTACACAAACAGTTCTCTTCTCCTCCCATGGGTCAGTATCCAGCTTGCTCAGTGCATCCACGTGAGAGCTAACAAACTCAGACTATATATACACGGACACCAACTGCAACTTAAAAAGCAATTGATGTGGGGAATTAACCTTTAATTGACATTTTAACCTGTATGTGTCACCTTATGTGTCTGTACCAAGGCCAAACATTCCAGAGCATGTAAACTTTTGATCAGGGTTATTTGGGTGATTTCTGTTATCATTATGATTTAAAAAATAGCCAAACAATATGTGATAATAATAAATGGTTATATATGACCACTATCCTTAAATAAAACGTCTTTTTGCACGATCAGTTATATTTTCTACATCAATGCCATAATTTCACAATTTCTTCCAGGGTATGCAAACTTTTGAGCACACCTGTAAAACAATAAAAGGCTGACAGCAGCTATGGCTGTTAACATGTAGCCACACAACAAGCCGTTAGGGACAGATATCCAAGTCTTGTTGCAGTCCATGTCTAACCGAGGGTAACAGCTCTGTGCAGCTACATGCAAACAGAGCTACTATTCGCATACACCTGTCATTTTAGCCACAAGAATCCACCAATTCTTGCAGCTAGAATCTGGAGTAGGTGGCTAAACGGTCATGTGAAGGTCTTATTCTATCCAAAACAAAGAAAAAGAAATGTTTTTTGTTACATTTTTAATATTTTGCTGCTTGCCATTCCTTATATGAAATGGCCAAATTAGTTTTTTTTCAGGCTGTTTTCTTTTCCTCCATTTCCACCTTGTGACCATGCCAGTAACACACTGCCTGTCCCAGAGTAACAACACTCACTTCCTGTACTATAGCAATGAAGGAGCAGTGCTGTTCTCCTGAGCTGCTGCCATGATTTGGACCACAACCACCACCCCTCTCCTCATTTCTATTACATAGGGAGAAGGTGTTTTAGTTTAGTTTATAGATGATAGCTAAGAAGGTTGATAACATTTTCTTGAGATTTCACTGTCCAGGTAGCATTAAAAAAAATGGATATCTATCAGAATCACAGGCATTTTTTTCTGTACTTAAAAGTGTACAGAAAGTATTCACAGCGCTTAACTTTTGCCACATTTTGTTATGTTACAGCCTTCTTCCAAAATGGATTCAATTCATTTTTTTACTCAACATTCTACAAACAATACCCTATATTGACAATGTGAAAGAAGTTCGTTCCCAAATCTGCAATTTATTAAAACTAAAAAAACACATGTACATAAGTATTCCCAGCCTTTGCCATGACACTCAAAATTGAGCTCTGGTGCATCCTGTTCCCACTGATCATCCTTGAGATGTTTCCACAACTTGATTGGAGTCCACCTGTGGGAAATTCAGTTGATTGGACATGATTAGGAAAGGCATAAACCTGTCTATATAAGGTCCCACAGTTAACAGTGCATGTCAGAGCACAAACCAAGCCATTAAGTCCAAGGAATTGTCCACAGACCTTCAAGACAGGATTGTATCAAGGCACAGATTTGGGGAAGGGTACAGAAAAATGTATGCAGCATTGAAGGTCCCAATGAGTACAGTGGCCTCCATCATCTGTAAATGGAAGAAGTTTGGAACCACCAGGAATCTTCCTAGAGTGGGCCGCCCGGCCAAAATGAGCAATCGAGGGAGAAGGGCCTTAGCCAGGGAGGTAACCAAGCACCCGATGGTCCCTCTGAAAGAACTCCAGCGTTTCTCTGTGGAGAGAGGAGAACCATCCAGAAGAACAAACATCTCTGCAGCACTCCACCAATCAGGCCTGTATGGTAAAGTGGCCAGACGGAAACCACTCTGCAGTAAAAGGCAAATGGCAGCCCACCTGGAGTTTGCCAAAAGGCACCTGAGGGATTCTCAGACCATGAGAAACAAAACTCTCTGGTCTGATGAAACAAAGATTGAACTCTGGCCTGAAAGCCAAGCATCATGTCTGGAGGAAATCAGGTGCCGCTCACCACCTGGCCAATACCATCCCTACAGTGAAGCACGGTGGTGGCAGCATCATGCTGTGGGGATGTGTTTCAGCGGCAGGAACTGTGAGAGTAGTCAGGATCGAAGGAAAGATGACTGCAGCAATGTTCAGAGACATCCTTGATGAAAACCTGTTCCAGAACGCTCTGGACCTTAGACTGGGACGACCGCTCATCTTTCAACAGGACAACGACCCTAAGCGCACAGCCCACATAACAATGGAGTGGCTAAGGGCCAACTCTGTGAATGTCCTGGAGAGGCCCAGCAGGAGCCCAGACTTGAACCCGACTGAACATCTCTGGAGAGATCTGAAAAAGCTGTGCACCGACTCTCCCCAACCAACCTGATAGAGCTTGAGAGGTACTGCAAAGAAGAATGGGAGAAATTGCCCAAAATAGGTGTGCCAAGCTTGTAGCATCATACTCAAAACGACTTGAGGCTGTAATTGGTGCTAAAGGGGCTTCAACAAAGTATTGAGCAAAGACTGTGAATACTTATGTGGGTTTTTTTTTTTCCGTTTTTTATGTTTAATAAATTGCAAAGATTTCAAAATGAACTTCTTTCACGTTGTCATTATGGAGTATTGTTTGTAGAATGTTGAAAAAAAAAATTACTTTAATCCATTTTGGAATAAGACTAACATAACAAAATGTGGCAAAAGTTAAGCGCTGTGAATACTTTCTGGATGCACTGTACGTAGCCTGAAAAAAAGAAATGAATGAAGGACTGGTAAACTGCAATATATTACAATTTTGATCTTAGGTTTAGATTTACTTTAACACAGCAGTTTTTTTAAGTTCTCCCTGTAAGATGACTATTACCTCTCAATTCTGCCATTACCTCTCCACTGATTGTAAAAGGTTAACAAGGCAGTAACAATTGCAGAAGTCCCAGTCTCAGTTGCGAATGATCAAAACAGTTGTCAATTAGCAACAGGGGGCAATGACTGCAGTGGATTGGATGAAAGCACAGCTGCCTCTAGTTCACACAGGAGGATGACAACTGTCCTGCAGCATGGGGAGCTGATGGTCACATTTAAAAAAAAAACAAAAACAAAAAAAAAGGCCTTAGTGGGGGCAGAAACTGGCAGAATCAACAGGTGTTTATTGAAAAGTACACAAGGCAAATAAGAGAACTATTTATGCAACTTTAGTATTTGGGTTTGCATACACTAACTAGTTCAACATTTTGAACATCTGCAAAATCTGAAGAGGTTGACACAAGCTCATGACTACAGTAGAAACCTCTGTGCAGCGAGAATCCAGATTTGCTCATTTCTGAGCATCTCCAGATTCAGAGCTGTTAAAATCCAAGCTAGAAAACCCAGTGCACAGCAGAACAAGCACAGTCTGCACTTGACCGACTGGAGCAAAGGGCAGGGGAGACATGAGGAGTCTAATAGATCCCCAATGTCTCTATAAAGAGTACCTGTCACCTGCTCAATGCTATCACATAGGGGGCTTGTTAGCCCCCTTGTGAAAGCAAAGTTAAAGACGTATGGGAATTTAAAAAAATAAAATAAATAAAAACACATACACACCTCTATAATTGCAGTATTGCTGTGACGCTGTAGCTATCCCCAGCTGGCTCTGAGCCTGAGAACCGGGTGATCACATGGCCACTTACCGCTCAGTTCTCAATCTGCTCAGTCACCGCTCTCTGCTCTGTCCCTCCAGCAGTCACTGGAGCATGAGGCTGGGGAAGGGGAAAGAGCAGCTGGCTCAGACTCTCAGTGGCACACTGGTAGGCTGAGCCATCTACCCATCAGGCATCTGGGTGAATCCCAACAGGCTTTAGCCTGCTGTAGATGGACTCTGGGTCACAGGGCATGTGTGCGACTCACTAGAGCAGTACAGCCAAAAAAGCTATTGCCATACTTCTCTTAAAATATTTGCCAAAAAAAAAGTTTAAAAAGTTAAAAATTGAAAAGCATCCCCATTGTCCTGTGCACACACACATGAATGCAAACGCATGCACAGAGAGCACACATGTAAGGGATTCTGCCATACAAGTGATATCCCCATATGGAGAGAAATATCTAGGCCCTTCAATTATGGTTAATTCTAAATTGATGGGCTGTAAGAGTATTTAAAGCATATTTTGGAAACCATCGAAAAAAAATTAAAACTTGGGCCCCTGAAGGTTTAAGTCATAATGTACTAGCACATTATGGCAGACTTCCGTGGACAAGGAGCCCTCCAGCGCAGCGATGTCACCTCCCAGGCGCATCCATCTTCACCCGGTCTTCCTTCTGGGTTTGCGGACTCTGGCTGTATGAATGGCCAAGGCAGCGAAGACGGCACTCCCATGCATGTGCGCGGGAGCCCTGGCACAGAGCTTTGAAGATACGGCATGGGTATGCTGTCCCTTCAGAGCGCATGTGCCAGTGACTTCACCGGCTGCATGCTGTGTGAATATCTTCTAAAAACAGTGCAAGTTTAGGAGATATTCACTGTACCTACAGTTAAGCCTCATTAATGGCTAACCTGTTGGTACAAGGTAAAGAGTGGACTTTACTTCCACTTTAAGAAATGAGCACAGAAAAAATTATAATGGGCCCCAAGGCATGTCGCACTCTTGCATTTATTTCATATCTGTAAATGTATGTTTTCAACTCCTCACCCCTCCATGCCCAAAGAACTCGCAGTAGCAGCAGTCGCAGTATTTGCCCTCTTTCTGATTGGTGGAGGTGGACGTGCTGGAGCTATGTTCTGAACAGCTGTCCTCATCCTGGCTCTCCTCGCCGTCATACTGCTGGTGGTCATACGCACCATTGTTTTCACACCGATGACCCTCACAGTCGGGGTCACTGGAACACAAATGACACAAAAAAGGTAATCTTTTCTACATATATTTGCACAGCTACCAAAACATACTAATGAGTGAGAATCACCAAGTAACATGAAGAATTGTTGCTTTAAACTATGGATACATATCAAAGAGTTTATGGACGTTTGACTCCTTTTAAAGTTAAATCTCGCTTGATGCAAACAAGTTTCCACTTGCCTATTGGCAAAAACTATCGCTATTAGCTAGCATACTACCTCAACATTCACCAATCAATATAAACTGCTTCAAGTTTACTCACTGCCATTTATGTACAGGGGGATGGGAGCTCCATAGACTGGCTTTAGAGACTAAACATTGCACAGTGGGGAACATTTTATGTCGTGTTGTTATATAAAAAGGGGTTTGCCTTTATGAATTCCTGTCATAACTGTGGCTAATGAGTACTGTCTCAATGCCAGAAGAGCTGCTTTGATTAATACAAATAAGTACTGTTCTTGTATGTGGAATTGTGAAAAAAGGGAACTTTTTATTAAGAGATATTCTGGATACCAACAAACTAAGGCAGAAGAAATGGCTAATAACTTGTGACCTGAATGCTTGAACAGGGGAAATCTGGAGTACACAACCACACTTTACACATTTATCTTAATGGACCTGTTTATTTAGGACGGTTCCCAAAAGATTTTCACAGATTGAGATACAAAAAGTGACGAATGAAACTCTTTTAATACAGTAGGTATATATAGACATCAATAGTATCAATGTTTAATCATGTCAAAACACATGGTGACTGCATTACATACTCGAAATGGTGCATTTAGGGGCCAGGGATTAACTGGCAACCATGCTAATCTCCAGCCTTTTAGGTACCCCTCACCAGTTGCAAGTAGTCTACTGTAGGAGATGCCAGGCCAGTCCACTACTACCAGCTCATAAACTGCTCATTACATGCAATAGAAAGAGAAAAAACAAAGAAAAGGGGGGGGGGGGAGAGAGAGTTGGAGAAAGACAAGAGAAGCAAGGAAAAAAGAAAGACAAAGTCGGGGGAACTCCCACAGCCAATGGTACATTTCAGGCTGGCCATATATTATACAACATTCTTTAAAAAATTTCCTTTAAAGTTACCAAAATCATATAATAGTGGGTCAAACCTAAACACTTTCAATTTGTACGCAATTAGGCAGGCCCATGCACTACATATTTGAAGGTCAATCTAAAGGAAATTGAATAAGAAAATTGTATAATGTATGGAGCAGCTTAACAGGAAAAACACACAAATCATTAGAATATAGCTGCTTGACCACTATTGTTGGTAAAGATGAAAGCAGCTGCCTTATCACTCACCTGCAGACACTAGGCGGGGCACTGAGTGTGCTGTCTGTGGTTGAGGTTGGAGGAGCAGCAGTAGAAGGACAGAAACCTAGATGAGGGTCAACAAACCCAGGTGCAGTGGCAGCTGTCTTAGGGAAAGGTTGGGGATTTATACTGGGAAGGTGCGGAGTGGAGGAGGCAGACGGTGTGTTGCAGGAGAAAGGGAAGGAAGTGCTGTTAAACTTGTTGGACTATTTCTTGGCGCAACCGGTGCAGAAGGATGCCTATGGTCCTCTTTAATATTGTGAAATACATCACCTAAAATCAGCAAAAGGGGAGGGGGGAGGGAAACACATTAAATTTTGCGATAATAAACACAGAAATCTTATCTAATAAGGAAGAAAAATATTGGTTTATAAGAAGAATCTGTAGAAATCAGTAAACGATAGCCAATTACATTGAACTTACATATTTGTAGTTGGAGGTTAGCTAATATGCAGTTTAATATCTAACAGCCCGAGGTCACTGTCATTTCTTAATTGAAATGTGTTGGTTGACAGAATATTGTGATGGTTTTTGGATTTCGTAGGTATTTAATGGAGAATGAAACCTAAAACATGGTGACCCTATATCTTATAAGCATATCTCAGATGTATGTTAGTTGAAGTATAGTTTATTTGCAGATACACTTTTGCTTTACCCAAAATAGAATATTTGTAGTCACCGTAAAATTTGTTTCTTGGGGTCCACTGATGAACACAGATATCTAACCTTAGGGATATACTGCTGCCTACAGAAGGACTGGACCCTAAGCAAGCAAAACTAGGCCAGACTAGGATAAACCATCCTCTATTAGCAAGCATCTTTTTTTAAGCAAAGCAGTAACTGTATGATCATTAAACACAGCTGTGTGAAACCTGAATTCCTCAATCGACTCGAAGAAAAGGTTTAAAAAAAACAGAGTACAAAAATCCGTTTTTCTTTGACCATTGTCCATTGAGGGTCAAATGAAGTCTTCACCTTCGGGACATCCAAAAAGTAGTCTGAGGCATAAGCAACAAAGCAAACAAATGCTAACAGTCCCAAGAAAAACATCAGAGAACTGGGGACTGCCTAGAGCTCAAAGAGTACCTGAAGGACTTTACACAGGAAGCTAGCATCCAACAACGCCAAATGTTTGCCTAGTAGTGTTTAGAAAAAGTGAACAGAAGACCAGGTGGTAGCCTTGCAAATCTGGGAAACAGATGCTTGATGCCGAAAAGCCCAAGAAGCATTGACAGATATAATAATAAAAAAAAAAAAAATGCCTTAACAGGGAAGAATGGAACCCAATCCTTGAGACCATAAACTTAAATGATGGTCTGTTTGAAATACCTAAAAATGGTTAACTCATACCGATGTACTATTTACACGATACATCTGGGTAGATAAAATTGGAACCATTTTTCTGAAAGAATCAGTGGCTGAGAGAGACTCACAACTCAAAACAAATTCAGATAATGAAATTAAATCTTTTAGTGAAATGGGAGTCAGACAGAGGGAAGAAAGAACAAAGACCTTGTTGAGGTCAAAAGTAGAAGCTATCTTAAGCAAGGCAGAAGTCTGGGTCCTCAACACCACAGAAGTGATGGCAACAAGAAATGCTACCTTGTGAGTAGAGAGAAAACCAGATTCAAATCTATTTGGTGTCACAAGGGTACAAATGGAGTAAGTACACAACAGACTCCCTTGTACAAAGTCAAGTCAATCAAGCATTTAGAGGCAAACAGTCTCTGAACAATGTTAGAAAAGTCATAAACCTGACCTTTAATAGTGCCGATAGACCAAAGCAGGAACTCGGTTAGCCAATTGTCTACACCTGGGATGTTCATGGAAGACAAGGCAGGAATGTGAAGTTCTGAAATGAACAGGATCCAACCTACCAACATGGACAGGATCCAACCTACCAAAATAGACAGGATCCAACCTACCTTTCTTGCTGCAGGAAGACTTCTAAGTATCCCCTGATGGCTGATGTATGCCACCATTGTGGCAAAGTCCAACTAAATCAGGATCTGACGACCTTGCAGCATTATGGTCCAATACTGCAGAGACAGCCAGACCATCTGATGTTTCAGAATGTTGTTCTGGAGATAAGCCTCCTCCCACGGCCAAATCTTTTGCACTGACAAGGTGCACAAGACTTCTTCCCAACCCAATAAGCTGGTGTCTGTCATAAGAATCCACACCAGGGACAACATGGTCCTTGTTGCTAAATAAATTAGTCTGTCTGTGGAATTTGACTTGTCTGATGACAAAATATTGCATTGTAGAGGTCTGGAGTGAAACAGGGCACATGGAGCTGCCTCAAAGGCTACCAAGACTCTCAGGCCCAAGACTCTTGTGCAAAAGCATTTACTCCAGTGGAGGAAACACTCTGGCCTGAGTTCTGTGAGACTAAACCCAGACACTAAACCCAATACTGTGAGACTAAACCCAAATGACGTCTGTTCCAGCAATGATTTCTGAAGTTTCAGATCCATCAAACCAATACAATATCTAGAAAGTTACATTCAACCGTGTCTGATGGAAATGGTGCTGACTGTTCAGTGACAAAGGTCACCTGCAGGCTTATCTCTCCAACGTCCAGTTGGGTGAATGATGGATGTGGCACTCCACATGCTAAGACAAGGATGTGCATGCCAGATAATCACAATCAAAGAGGCACTCCAAAAGCTAGGCTTTTGATAGCTGCGCAGGATAGCAGTTTGTAAAACAGGAAAGCTCTAGCAGCTATGCAGAAGAGAGTCCTGGTTTAAGTAGAAAAAAATCTAGGAGTATGGAAAAAAGGTGCTGTTAAAATAGGTAAGACTTTAGCATAGTAGAACTGGAGAGAAGACATGCCCATCCTCCTAGGACACTAGCAAAAGAAAAACAAAACATGTGGGTAATAGGAGAGGCTATCATGAGCTGGCCTACAGGTGTTTTTTGTTTACGAGTGTCAAAATCTCCTTTAGATGACAAGATAAACCAAAGGTGAATGACTTCCCATGTCCCTCAATGGTCGAGAGAAAAAAAAAATGATATACTGTTACTCCCTACACTAATTTCATTCTCACCTATTGAAGAAGGCCTTTTGGATGATACTTTGAACTGGTTGCTACTGGACTGGACTGTGGTGGCTGTGCAAGAAACGGAGGAGGTTGCAGATGAAGTTGCCATGACAACTTTATTTGCTTCTATAAAGGCATCTTGAAAATTATAAAGACATTTCTTCTTGGCAGTGTTTTTTTTCTCCTTTATATCTGGAGCCGGTGTAGTTTCACTACTAGATGCCGTAGGAAGTGCTTCAGGCCTTATTTCAGGAAGTGCAGGCCCTAAAATATCACCCCCTATAAGGTTCAAAACAGAAAAAAAATGAGGTTAGGAAACAAAAAAATAAAGAAAAATTATCTTGTAATTGATAAAAAATGTTGTTTATATTTTACATGTTGTTCCATGTGGGTTATTTACTCAGCAACATACCAGACTGCCAAATCCAGAGATTTGTTCACAGGAACAGGAAAATTAAATTTTCCTATCTTGGTTATCTCCTCTATAGAGACTTGACAGGGAAGGTAGATGTGGAAAATTTAAGGACTACATACTTCATCTTGTCCCCACTTACATTACCATGCACAACCATAGTAAGAAAGGTCTATTAAAGTACATCTAAACCCAAAACAAACAAACAAAAAAAAAAAGGAAATAAACTGCAACTCAACAGTCTTTAGACATGTTGGTTTTCTCTTTTCAGGCTAAGCAAATTTTCTGAAAGTACACAAAAATGCCTGTTGTGATCAGAAACTGTGTGTTCTGGTAATTTCCTGTGCGCTGAAAGCTCAATTTTATCAGTTTTTCTCCTGCTCCTCAAGAGACAGTGCAGCGAGTGAGAGTTGTATATGTCTGTGAAGGTCTGCATTAAAGTCAACCTTTTGATATGTCCTGCATTGAAACAGCACCGATTCCCTTTAAATAAATGGACTATAGATGGATGCCTCCTATGCTGTAAATGAGTTCTCTTTATGGAAGTGGTTTCCGTTGCCTTTGATTTTCTGACCTGAAGAAACTGATTGTTACGGACTGATCATGGACAGAAATTGCAACACCAATTCGTTTCTCTGACTTAAGCAGTCCATAGAAGATTCATATTTTTTTTGTTCAAGCAGCAGATTGAACGGAAAAAAAAAAATCAATTCACCCATCCATACATTTTAAGGTAGAATCCTCCTGCTGAGCCTTTGCATTCTGACAGCAGGGAGAATTTCCCACCACCAAAATACACTTATCAGCACTGCCAGCTACAGTGGGTATAGAAAAGAATCAAGCTCTTTAAAATAATAATTTTGTTGCCTTGCAGCCTGAAATGAAGACAGACAGTTTTGTTTTATCCAGCTGTATTCACTCAGTGCAACTTATAACATCCAAGTGAAAGATATAACACCAACAAGTTAAAACAAAATGAAAAAAAAATTCAAAAACCGAATCACTGAGTCGGGAAAAGGATCACCCCCTTGTGTCAGTATTTTGTTGACTAGCCTTTTGCTTTAAATACAACCTTTAGTCTGTTGGGATTTGTCTCTACTAACTTTGCACATCTAGCCTTTGCAATATTTGCCCGCTCTTCTTTGCCAAACTGCTCAAGTTCAGTTAAATTTGATGGTGACCGTTTGTGGATTGCAGTCTTGGAAGTCATTCCACAGATATTCAATTGGGTTTAAGTTTGAGTTCTGACTAGGCCATGCAAGGACATTCACCTTTTTCTATTCCAACCACTGTGTGGTCATTTTTGCTGTCTGCTGTAGGTCAGTCATGTTGAAAGGTAAACCTTCTTCCCATTGACAACTTTCTGGCAGAGGGCAGCAGAAACTTTCATGGCATTTTGCCTCATCCATTTTTCCTTATACCCTGACAAATGCTCCAGTCCCCGCTGTTGAGAAAAACCCCTATAACAGGATAGTTCCACCTCCAAGCTTTACTGTAGGAATGGTGTTATTTGAATGGTGAGCTGAATTGGATTTCCGCCAGACTTATTTAGTGTTGAGGCCAAATAATTTAATTTTAGTCTCATCTGACCATAACACCTTTTTCCATGTGGCCTCAGACTCTTCAAGTTGTGTTTTGGCAAAACTCATTTGTGACTGTATGTGGCCTTTCTTGAGGAGAGGCTTTGTTCTTGCAACCCTCCCTTACAAGCCACAATTGAGGAGAATTTCTAGGCATTGATAAAGCCTTTGAAATTTTTGTATCCATCTCCTGATTTGTGCCTGTCCACTTCATTCTGGAGATCTTTTGACAGTGTCTTGCCAGCCATAGTTGATCGTTTGCTTCAGTTGCACTATCAAGGACTGAAATGCTCCAGGAAAGCTCTTTTCATGCTGAGCTAATCAAAATGACCACAGCTGATCACAGTTGAAAGTCAAACGGCTTTGTGTGCCATTGAGAAGGTGGTTAGCAACACCTGATTGAGTTTGCAAGTCATTTTTAGGAAGCGGGTGATCTTTTCCAGCTCTGTAATTCTGTTTTTGAATTTTTTTTTTATTTTGTTCTGACATGTTGGTGTTAGATCTTTCAGTTGGATATTATAAGTTGCACCGAGTAAATACAGCTGGATAAAACAAAAACTGTGTGTGTTTCTATTTCAGGCTGCAAAGCATCAAAATGTGACTTTAAGGGGGGTGATTCTTTTCTATACCCGTTATATAAGCGGAGGTACTGATTGAGCGTCAAAAATCCATCAGGGTGGCAGTACAGAAGTGGATTGGAAGGTTAATTTCTGTCCAACCAACCCTGCCCATACATGGATTAGAATTCAGATGGTCACTGCTGAACTGGCTAAATTTTGATATGTGAATGGCTGTCTTAAGTATCCAGCAACAGTCAATTCTGGAAAAGTCCCCCTACCAGGTTGTGCTACCTTCTTTTCTTAGTACATGGAGAATATATTTCCTTCCTCTAATCTGTTACTCAATAGAGTATGAGTTTTCAAATTCTCCTAACTTCTATGTTGGTTGGTCCTACTGTCTGTAATATGCTCAATTTTGAAGGGGGAATGATGGCTTCAGACACTTCTTTTTCAATCCATCTCCTGTTGGCTTGAATTTACTGTTTTAGAGTGCATTTCTCCACAATATTTTTTTTCTAATATCTCTGTTTCATACTCTTCATATTTCACCCTTCCTATGTTAGGATGTCTATACAGATATGGCTGTTCTTTAGCTGGATCGCTTTCAGTGGTCTTCCAGATGCTCATTTAGGAACCTGCCATGTACCTGAACTTTTTCTATATTCCCCCACCCACATTTTGAAACTGTTTTACATCCCCAGAAGCTTCCTGTGAACCCCTGAACAACAAAAGGGTTATATTTTTTCCTCATTAAGTTCATCCATGATTTAAATATCTTCAACCTTTGTTGTTCCTCTCAGGCTCTCCACTATGTTATGTTTTTCTTAGTCTCCAAACCTCTGCAGGCAGGGCTAATACCCTCAGACCTATCCTCCCATCTCCTTAACCAAAATAAAGGATTTAACAGCAAGTGCAAAAGCCTACTTTTTAGATAAGAAATATTCAAGATTTTGCTGTAAACGAGGATTCAGGTCACGAAAAATAAAAATCGATAACTGTCCCATTACATTTTGAAAGCATTTTCTGATTTAACTAAAACCAAACTTCCAGGCTCCTTTAGAAGTATCCGCCGACTGCTAGATTGGCTGAAATGCTTCTGCACACAATTTCTTAATCACCGCTGTCAACACATAAAATATTGGTACTTATTACTGTGGAGGTGGCACACTAGCCATTAGCAGCCTGGATTATGTGAATCCTCAGGTGATTTACCCGGTCACCGAGTCACTAGGCAGCAGAACAAGAATTGGATGATATTTCCCATGCTGAGTCCTGACACCTATCAATTATGTTCTAATTGCTGGTAAGTAGTGGATAGTGGTTGAAGCAGCATTGCTGGGATGTATCGTCCTAGACAAGGATCCCTTAAGAAATCTGACCTAGCTGTGTACTCTCAACACCTCTTCCTCATGAATTTATCATTAAGAGAAAGCAGCCTAATCGTGAAATAGAAAAAGAACAGTTTGGGGCTGTTAAAACAGAATCATGACAAAAACAGCAACATGTACAATAATTATGGGATATATCAAAGCAAAATGCTGGTCTCGGAAACTAACAAGGAAAGAGACATTTTCTGGATAGCGGTTCAGCTATAAAAGGATATAAGATTAACTGCAGGAGATGGACAAATACACAGCAAGAAATAACATAAAAACCTAAATCACAACATAAGTGAAGAAAAGTAGATTTTAAGAGAGGTAGCTCTGATGAAGTCACGTGGTGTGTGACGATACGTGTGAGAAGTCAGGTGACGTCAGCACTCTTACACCGTTCTGACAGGCAGGGTCTTGCTCTCCATTGTTTGATTCTGACCTGTTTCATGCATTTTTTTACACTAATATCATGTGAGTTCATATGCTTTAATAAATATATGCCTTTTAAAGAAACCTACTGCACTATGGTCTACTTTGTGATTGTTGAGCTTTATCCACAGAGTTGGCTGTACTGAAATCAGGTGCCATTTGTAGTGGTGATTCATAAGGGGAAGAGTGCACAGAGGAGCAAGTTATGCGTTACCCCCACTAATAGGGAAGATGCTTTGTTTGACCTTTGTCCACATACAGGTCCATGCAAGAAGGTGAGAGTCCACCTGAAAGTTATGTTCACTGTGGTGATTAACACATATTGGAGATTTACAGCACTGGAATTTGGGTGCAATCAACAGCAGGAAGATGTTTCACTTATTTGGATATTTTTGAAAAATTGCATTTATTTTTTGTTTCATCATCTTTTTGGGACTATCAGTCACATTTTTGTTTGTATATTTACATGTATATTGATTTATGCTAGCAGCGTGACACTTTCATTTGTTTTAGTCTTTTTTTTTTTTTTTTATGTTTACACACATAACACGTGTTTGCAGCAGCTCATCTATTATTATTTTCATTATTTGGCAGCGCACGATTTTCTTTTACCTTTAAAACATGTATTGCCAGCACTAATACAATGTTCAATTTCAGTCAGTATTGCTGAAGAGGGGAAAAAAATAAAATACAAAGTATGTTCCCACTTCTTACCAGCAAGAGGGTCAGGTAGAAAGGAAGTTGTCCAGTTCTTATCATTCATCATTTCTGACCCCCAAAGACTTATAAATTTAGACCGGCTCCATTCAGGAGAATTGCCAAAACAGCTCGGGTACATGTGATCTTGTAAAGATGCGTTGAATACCTGATGCTTATTAGTGTGGTTCTGTGTAGGAGGCAAAGCCTAAATAAAAATAAATGTTTATAAATGATGGTAAAAAGAAAACCCATAAACATTTTGGAAACTCTTGCTAACAGCTAAACAAGAATAGAGAATAATGAAGAATCTAACCGAGGTTGCATTGCTAGAGTGGAGAGGCTAGCATTTTTTCTTATTTTTTATTTTTTGCAACTGAGTCTCTTTGAAAACCTTGAAGAAATACTTGAGGTTCACCCTAACTTATCTCCCCTTTCTTTTTCTTCAATGCTTTAAGGTTGTAACTCAAAACAAGTAAGATCAGGAATTTTTCCTGACTTTCTTCCGATCTGTGACTTTGCTGCCATTTTTTGGTGGACAGCAATGGCAGACCCCATATTTCTTTAACAACAGCTTTACTTTAAGAGAGCATAGTAAAATATTTTCGAACCTGCAAAATTATTCCGTAACTAATAAAATAGCCTGCACAGTATAGACTTCTAAATGTAATAATTGCTCAACTGTCATTTTGTCTTCTGCATGAACAACTGCACTCAGTTAAAATGTATTTATAAAACCTGGATAACACAAAAATAAAAGAGGACAGTTGGCCATAGGCAACAATTAGAAGCTCAAAAATTATACCAAACTCAACAAAACTACTTAAATACTAAACAAAGGCTAATGAATGTATCCTCTTGCACCAAGTGGATTGAAGAAATTCATTTCTCCTTCTTTCTGGTTTGTTTGCACATTTTGTTCCCCTGCAGTGTTTGACTTGCACATCATGGGGGTGCATGGATTGGCCATGAATGGCCTATGATTTTTGTTGATGTTTACAGGTGACATGGTGGATTACGGGTGATGTAGGGATGATAGTTTTTATCATTTGTGTGCCTTCTTGTGCTTTGATAATACACTGCTAAATTTTATATGAGAAGCGCTACAAGTGCAATAGTGGGGGAAAGGTTAGCTAGAACAGAAGTCAATGATTTTGGGGGGGTACTCACAGTAAACAGTTTGACCAAGCAGCTGGGAAAGCAAATACAATTCTGGGCTGCATCACTAGAGAGATCTGAAGCAGATGGCAGGAGCTCCCAATTCCATCATATAGAGCTTTAGTCAGAAGCATTTAAAATTCTGCCTCTGGTTCTGAAGACCATGCTCACAAACAAAATAAAACAGAACATGTCTAGAGATGCGCAACAAAAATAGTGCAAGATCTAACAGATAAAACATATCAAGAAAGATCAGAGGAATGTGTATAGCTTCCATGAAGGTAGGGAAAAGGGGAACATAACAGAAACCTTTAAATACATTAAGGGCATTAATAGGGTTAAGGATGACTATTTTATAGGCGAAGCCAAGACCAAATACACAGGAGGTGCAGGACACAGGACCTCTATAAAACATTCAAGAATATCAGAAAGTATTTTATCAAAAGTGTAGTGTAGTAGATGCTTTGAACAGACATGCCGCAGTAGTGAAACAAACAGTAAGTGATTTTTAAACATGGGATAAACATACAGTTGTGCTCAAAAGTTTGCATACCCTTAGAGAATTGGCAATATAAAGTATGTACCATTTTTAAAGAAAACTGGAGTGAGCAGGCAAAACACATTTCTTTTATTTCTTATGGGATTCATATTCAACTGTAGGTCATAACAGACTGGAAAAAATCATAAAACAAATCATGGCAACAAATAAACAAATGTAATGACCCCTGTTCAAAAGTCTGCATACCAAAAGATTCAAAAGTCTTTTGAAATAGTTTTCTGAGTCACAGATTTCTTGCAGGTGGTATAGCTGCCCATTCATTTTGGCAAAATGCCTCCAAGGTCATGTCAAATATTTGGTCATCTTGCATTAACCGCATGTTTCAGATCTCCTCAGAGTGTCCAGATTATATTAGGTCAGAAGACTGCAATGGCCACTCCAGAACCTTCACCTTTTTCTGCTGTAACCACTGGAGGGTCAATTTGGCCTTGTGGTTATGGTCATTGCTGTGCTGCAAATTCAAAGAGTCCCATGCCTATCTGAATGCAAATTATCTGCCAGTATTTTTTGATAACATACTGCATCCATTTTCACAAGATTCCCTGTGCCTTTAGAGCTCCCCCCCCCCCCCCCCCCCCCCGAAAACGTCAGTGACCAACCACCATGCTTCACAGTGTGGATGGTATTATTGCCGCTGTAGAACTTGTTGACCCCTCTCCAATGGTTGTGATCATAAAGCTCCATTTTGAGACTGTCACTCCAGATTCCAGAAGCTGTGAGGCATGTCAAGGTGTTGTCGGGCTTACTGTAACTGGGCTTTTTTATGGCACTGGCGCAGTAAAGGCTTCTTTCTGTCAACTGGACCATGCAGGTCATTTCTGTTAACGTATCGTTGCATTGCGCTCTTTGAAACAATCACACCGTCTTTTTCCAGAGCAGCCTATATTTCTCCTGAGGTTACCTGTGGTTTTTCCTTTGTATTCCGAACAATTCTTTTGGCAGTTGTGATTGCAATCCTTCTTGGTTTACCCAAACCTGGCTTAGTATCAAGAGATCCCCGAATTTTCCACTTCTTAATAAGTGATTGAACAGTACTGAATTGCATATTCAAGGCTTTGGATTTCTTTGTAGATCCATTTCCATCTTTATAACATTCCGTTACCTTGTTACGCAGGTCTTTTAACAACCCTTTTCTGATCCCTATGGCTCAGTGCATCCATGTGAAAGCTAACAAACTTACTGAGTATTTATACACAGGCACTAAGTGCAATTTAAAAAGCCCCAGATGTGGGAAATTAACCTTTAATTGACACCTGTACCAAGGCCAACAATCCAGGGTATGTACACTTTTGATGAAGGCCATTTGGGTGATTTCTATTATCATTATGATTTAAAAAGGAGCCAAACAACCAAGTGATGAGAAATGGCTTCATACAGTCACTATCCTTAAATGAAAGCCAGTTTTTTTTAGAATGATCAGTCATATTTTCAATATCAATGCCAAAACTTCATGATTTCTGAAAGGGTAGGAAACCTTTTGAGCAAAAGTGTAGATCTATCGTGCGGCACAAGTAGCTGACTTGTTGGATCAATTGGTCTTTTTCTATCCCTGGTGGCATTTAAAAAAAAAAAAAAAAAAAAATGAATATAAATCACTAATTTTCATCATTAATCTCTGCATTTGGATTCACATGAATGTGCACACAGACTTTCTTCACAATCCTAAATCCATCTCGCAGTCAACAGATAATTCAGAAGTGTGTGTGCGCAGCTGAAATTAATATCTTATAGGCCAAACATATCACAACTAAGCCATGATAGACAGAAAGATCACACTGAAACCAAATCAGTACATGTTCATGCTATATATAAAAAAAAAAAGTTTTGTGTGTGCACCTGATAATATATTAATAGGTTTAACTTGCCATAACAAGTACAGCAGAGTGCAAAAAATTAAAGCAATATGTCCACGCCATTGCTCACTGGGACTCTGGATGTGGAAGGCTTGGATATTGACAATGTGGAAGAGGTTGTTCTATGGCTTGCATCCACAGAGTACAAGTCAATTTCTAGATACACAAGGCTGGTTTCTCATTGCTCTAATCTTTCCTGAGCAGCTTTTCAATCTATAAACAGCACTGCTTTCACTTTAAGATTTTGGGCTCCATGCATACAACATGATGCTTTAAGAGCTGCATAAAAGACACGTAGGATGTACTGTCAGTGACAACTGTTCTACCTGTCTTTTTCAGCAGACGTCTCTTATCGGCCTAACTGGAAACTTCAACTTGATCTCAGTTCAAGATATTGGCACATTTTCCACATTGCACTTACCTTACTGTGTGCAAACGGAGAGGCTGCATACAACGTTGGGTGAATAAGGGGTCGGGGTAGGTGGGGGATAGTATGCAAGGGTAAATGTCCATGAATGTGGGGATAAAGGTGAAGTGCTGGATGTGCTGGTTTATCGGGATTAATGAACTGATGTCCAGTTGGGAGACGTCCTGCCACCAGTGCAGATGGAGACAGGCCCGAGGCTTCCTGCTTACATACATGGCACTCACAGGAATTTGGTATTGGATCTACCTGTAAAATGAGAAAGAATCCATGGTAATTGCAAGCTCTGCAAGCCTATGAGCCATACCGCACGTTCCACAAACATTGCAGGAATTTACTAATACAAAGCTTTACCTTCTAAGAGCAAGCTCCAAAGTTCTACTGCATAACTTTACTTTGCATTACTGCACTTTTCTCCACAGATACCCTCAAGCTCTACACGGTCTGTAATTTAAGCTATACAACCATTTCTGACAGGCCCTCTTTCCCAAACAGATATCCAACAAGTTTTCTCAACCTAAGCAGGCCATACACTATGAAAATTTCAGATTCAAATGGCAAAATTTGCTATACAGTTGGCGCTGTCAGCTCCTTCCTGCTCAACATTCTTTGAAAAATTGAAGTTGCTTTGCTGGAATAAAACTTTTTGGCAGAACAGCGGGAGCATCCAATCAGATGCAGCTGCCGTTCAAGTATTCTGACAGTCCTCTGCAGCAGCAGTCAGAATACAATATGCACAAGCAGGTCAATCATCCATCCATCTACTCTGAATAGTGCCGATGGAGAAACCTGTTGGGATTGTTTTTGTTTAGCCCACAAGCTGAATAAAAAAAAAACAAAAAAAAAAAAAAAAACAAACATTGTGTTTGGTTCACATTTTCACAGCTCTCACTGTGAAGAAACCCCTCCATAATTGGAGATTAAGTCTCTTCTCCTCCAGATGTAAAGAGTGCCCCCTTGTCCTCTGTGATGACCTCAGGGTGAATAACTCTACACCGAGTTCACTATATGAACCACTGATGTATTTATACATGTTGATTCATATCCCCCCTTATGTATTATACATGTTGATCATATCCCCCCTTAATCTCCTCTTCTCAAGAGAGAATACATTCAGTTCCTCTAATCTTTCCTCATAGCTGAGCTCCTCCATGCCTCTTATCAGTTTGGTTGCCCTTCTCTGCACTTTCTCCTGTTTCTCAATGTTCTTTTTGTGAATTGGTGCCCAAAACTGAACTGCATATTCCAGATGAGGTTCTTACTAATGATTTGTACCGGGGTAATATGATATCTCTCTCTTGGAGTCTATAACTCTTAACACAAGAGAGGATTTTTCTTTACTTTAGAAACCTCATCTTGGCATTGCATACAATTATTAAGCTAATGATCTACCAGAAACTCCAGATCCTTCTCGCCATTGACTCCCCCAGTTATACCCCGCCTAGTATGTATGATATATGCATATTCTTAGCCCCCAAGTGCATAACATTACATTTATCAACATTAAACCTCATTTGCCACATAGTTGCCCAATTACACAGTGCATTGAGGACGGCTTGTAAGTTGAAGACATCCTGTAAGGACGTTATTCACTGCACAGCTTGGTGTCATCTGCAAAGACTGAAATGGGATTTTAAATCCCAGACCCTATATCTTTTATAAATATATTAAAAAGTATGGGTCCCAACACTGAACCTTGGGGTACACCACTGACACTCCTAGACCATTCAGAGTATAAGTCATTAACCACTATTCTCTGAATACGATCTTTTAGCCAGTTTTCTATCCACTTACAAACCGATTTTTCCAAGCCTGTAGACTTTACCTTACACATTAGCTGTGTGTGAGGAACTGTGTGAAACGCCACCCCTCTGTATAAGGTTTTGCTCACCTCCTCATGAAGAGAAATCAGATTTGTTTGACAACTTCTGTCTTTCATGAATCTATGCTGTCTGTTTCTTAAAATATTTTTTTCCAGCAAGAAGTCATCTATGTGGTCTTTTATTAAACTCTCCAGAATCTTCCCAACTATAGAAGTTAAACTAACAAGTCTATAATTACTTAGTAAAGATTTTGACCCATTTTTAAACAGGCACCACACTGGCCTTATACCAATCCAATGGTACTATGTCAGTCATTAAAGAGCCCTTAAAAATGAGAAACAATGGCTTTGAAATGACAGAGCTCAATTCTTCAAGGACCCGTGGGTGTATGCCATCTGGTCCAGGTGCTTTATTCACCTTTATTCTGTCTAAATATTTTTGGATCATATCAATTGTGAGCCAATGTAGATTATCTGGAGCTGTGTCAATACCATGCCCATTATGGACAAGAGCTCTCCCATGCTCATTGGTATACACAGATCTGAAGAAGGTATTTAATACATTTGGCTTCTCTTTGTCCCCAGTCACCCACTCTAGATTATTTTGTAAAGGACCTACATGCTCAGACCTGACCTTTTTAAAATTAATATATTTGAAGAATTTTTGGGGGTTTGTCCTGCTATCTTTTGCAATCTGTCATTTGTTTTCAATTTTTGCAACCTTTATTTTCATTTTACATATTCTGTTATATTCTTTGTAATGTTTAACCACTTGCCCTCCAGAGGATTTACCCTCCTTCCTGACTAGGCTATTTTTTGCGTTATGGAGCTGTGTTACTTTAACTGACAACGTTGCACCCAAATGAAATTTTGTCCAATAAAAAAAGTTTAAAAGTCGAATTTCATCATAAATTTAGAGCAAATGTATTCTGTGTCTCTGCTAATAAAAAATCTCAGTACGTGTAAATTAATTGGTTTACATGAAAGTTATAGCGTTTACAAATGGCGGTATATATGCTGGAATTTTTTTTTTTTTTTACTAGAAATGGCAGCGATCAGCAATTTATAGCGGGACTGAGGTGGGCATTCTGACACTGGAGGGGAACTGACTTGGTGTTACTGACATCCCCAGTGACACTAATAAAGTGATCAGTGCTAATAAAAAGCACTGACACTGTACTATTGGCACTGGCCAGGAAGGGGTTAACATCTGGGGTGATCAAAGGGTTAACTGTGTGCGGTGTGTTTTACTATGGGGCTGTGTCTGTGCTTTCCACTGTAAGCACACTGCTTTGTATGGGTCTGCTATGCGCTGGAGCTGATAGGAAAGAGAATTGTATTGTTTACATACAGTCCTCTCCCCGTCAGTATTACTTGGTGATCACCGGGTGGTGGCGAGTAATTACCGGCCGGGACCCGGTGATTGACAGCTGAGGATGCGAATTCGGCACGGTAGGGCGCTCGCACGAGTTCCCTACCTGGAAATGCAAAATCAAGTATATATACAGTCAGGTCCATAAATATTGGGACATCGACACAGTTCTAACATTTTTGGCTCCATACACCACCACAATGGATTTGAAATGAAACGAACAAGATGTGCTTTAACTGCAGACTGTTAGCTTTAATTTGAGGGTATTTACATCCAAATCAGGTGAACGGTGTAGGAATTACAACAGTTTGCATATGTGCCTCCCACTTATTAAGGGACCAAAAGTAATGGGACAATTGGCTTCTCAGCTGTTGCATGGCCAGGTGTGTGTTATTCCCTCATTATCCCAATTACAATGAGCAGATAAAAGGTCCAGAGTTCAATTCAAGTGTGCTATTTGCATTTGGAATCTGTTGCTGTCAACTCTCAAGTTGAGATCCAAAGAGCTGTCACTATCAGTAAAGCAAGCCATCATTAGGCTGAAAAAACAAAACAAACCCATCAGAGAGATAGCAAAAATATTAGGCGTGGCCAAAACAACTGTTTGGAACATTCTTAAAAAGAAGGAATGCACCAGTGAGCTCAGCAACACCAAAAGACCCGGAAGACTACGGAAAACAACTGTGGTGGATGACCGAAGAATTCTTTCCCTGGTGAAGAAAACACCCTTCACAACAGTTGGCCAGATCAAGAGCACTCTCCAGGAGGTAGGTGTATATGTGTCAAAGTCAACAATCAAGAGAAGACTTCACCAGAGTGAATACAGAGGGTTCACCACAAGATGTAAACCATTGGTGAGCCTCAAAAAACCGGAAGGCCAGATTAGAGTTTGCCAAACGACATCTAAAAAAGCCTTCACAGTTCTGGAACAACATCCTATGGACAGATGAGACCGAGATCAACTTGTACCAGAGTGATGGGAAGAGAAGAGTATGGAGAAGGAAAGGAACTGCTCATGATCCTAAGCATACCACCTCATCAGTGAAGCATGGTGGTGGTAGTGTCATGGCGTGAGCATGTATGGCTGCCAATGGAACTGGTTCTCTTGTATTTATTGATGATGTGACTGCTGACAAAAGCAGCAGGATGAATTGTGAAGTGTTACGGCAATATTATCTGCTCATATTCAGCCAAATGCTTCAGAACTCATTGGACGCCGCTTCACAGTGCAGATGGACAATGACCCAAAGCATACTGCAAAAGCAACCAAAGAGTTTTTTAAGGGAAAGAAGTAGAATGTTATGCAATGGCCAAGTCAATCACCTGACCTGAATCCGAATGAGCATGCATTTCACTTGCTGAAGACAAAACTGAAGGGAAAATGCCCCAAGAACAAGCAGGAACTGAAGACCAGTTGCAGTAGAGGCCTGGCAGAGCATCACCAGGGATGAAATCCAGCGTCTGGTGATGTCTATGCGTTCCAGACTTCAGGCTGTAATTGACTGCAAAGGATTTGCAACCAAGTATTAAAAAGTGAAAGTTTGATTTATGATTATTATTCTGTCCCATTACTTTTGGTCCCTTAACAAGTGGGAGGCACATATGCAAACTGTTGTAATTCCTACACCGTTCACCTGATTTGGATGTAAATACCCTCAAATTAAAGCTGACAGTCTGCAGTTGAAGCACATCTTGTTCATTTCATTTCAAATCCATTGTGGTGGTGTATAGAGCCAAAAATGTTAGAATTGTGTCGATGTCCCAATATTTATGGACCTGACTGTAAGTGATTTTGCGCACCCCTGCTGCCCTGTAGCAGTATTTCTGCTATAGGGCGGCGGTAAAGTGGTTAATTGATGACAGCGTTCCTTCATTTTTATATTTAATAAAAGCTATTTTCTTATTATTTATAGCTTTTTTAACTTTGCCCGTAAGCCACATCAGTCTGATTTTTAGCCTTTTAAACTTGTTGCCCATGGGAATATATTTTTGCAGTGTTCACATACAGTCTTTTTGAAAAACTCCCATTTCTGTGTTGTGTGTTCATCGATGCCAATATTCCTTCCCAGTCCAAGTCTTGGAGAGCAGCACTCAGCCTTGCAAAATTAGCTCTCTTAAAGTTGAGCATTTTTATTTTCCCGTGTGTGCTTGTTGTTTACAGCTAACAATAAATGAAATCATGTTATGGTCACTGCTACCCAGATGTTCTTATATATGGACATTAGTAATAAGCTGTGCATGGATTGAGATTAACAGGTCCAGCAGAGCATCATTCCTAATTGGGGCCTCTATGAACTGTACCAAAAAAATTGTACTGTAGTAGGTGTATACATCTTTGCCCTTTAACTGTTCCTGCAGTGCCATTACTCCAGTCAAATTCTTGGTAGTTAAAATTCCCTATTATTATCACTGTCCCAGCCCTTTTGATCTGTGCAAGGAGATGAGTCTCCACCTCCTCATAAATATTGGGTGGCCAATAATAAACTCCAATGATAACCTTTGTAGTACGCACCCCCATGTGCAGTTCCATCCTTATGCTGCAGCCTCATCACACTCTCCATCAACTAGGTCCTCTTTCACACTCGCTCTGAGATCACTTGTCACAGAGACAGACACCACCACCTTTCCTTTTTACCGTCTCTCCAAAAGAGAACATAGCCAGGAATATTAATGGCCCAGTTGTGTGAAGAATGAAGCCAAGATTCAGCAATACCAATTAAATCATAGTTCTCTTCATACACCAAAGCCTCCAACTCACCTATTTTGCTTGGCAGACTTCTGGCATTGGTAAACAAACACTTTATATCATTGACACCTTGTTCACACGTATTTTGCATATATTTTATTTTCATACAAATGGTACCAATTCCAATGGTTGTTTGTAACATGGGCACCTTCTCCTCCCTTCATCATCTTTCCCCATTCCACCCACCAATAAAGGACTAACCCCTGTCTGATCTGTCTGCCCCAATATAATCTAATGCTCCCTCCCTCCTCAATCCTAGTTTAAATACTCCTCCAGCTGTGCCATAATCCTCTCCCCCCATAACAACACCCCAATAAAAAGTCAGCCCAGTGCTCTAGAAACCCACATCCTTACCTCTTACACCAGGTCTTTAGCCATGCATTGAGTTCTCCAATCTCCCCGTCTTTCCGGAGTTGCGCATGGCACAGGTAATATTTCAGAGAATATCACCTTGGAGGTCCTTCCCTTCAAATTGCAGCCTAGTTCTTGATTCTTAAGGAGCCTCCACCTTCCATGTATTCTGTCATTGGTTCCAACATGGACCAAGACAGCTGGGTCATGCCCAGCCTCTCCCAGTAATTTATCAACCCTGTCCACCACATGCCTAACCCTAGCAACCAGGGAAACCGCAAATCATTCGGTTGAGGCGGTCCTGGTGACAAATTATTCTATATCAGTTCTTCCGATTGTGGAATCCCCTATTACCACTGTCTAGGCCTTCCTGCAGTACCCTCACCACCCCTCACAGATGATCTGCCCTCCCCTGAGCTTGCCACCCCCACATCTTCACCCAACTTGGCAAATCTGTTGGGGTGCTCAAACCCAGGGCTGGCCTTCCTTTTCTGTGACCCCTACCACTCCTTCTCGTTATAGTAACCTATCTTCCTACCTGATAATCCTGACTAGCCCCTCCACGCTCCACATCAATCTCATTAGCTACCTGCTCAGAAAGCAGCAGACCCCTTTCAAGGTTGTCGGTTCTGCCAGTGTTGCAATTTGCTCCTCCAGATCTCTAATGTGAGCTTTCAGAAGGGCAACCTGCTCACATCTGTTGCAGCGGTACGCAACCTGGAGCTGTTGCTCCATTGATGCATACATGCGGCGCACTGTGCACTGCACAAAACCTTCAACCCTGCTAGTACTCATTATCCCAGTTACAAAATTATTACTAATAAGAAATATCAGATGTCACTTACAGGTTAGTAGACTCCTGTTATAATCTCCTGTTTTCAACTCCGGTTTTTAACTCCACTTAATCAAATGTCCACTTGATCAAAGGTCCAGCATGCAAAATACAGGCAAGCTCAAGAGTGAGCTCTACAAAAAGTTATATAGTACTTGGAGCACCTTTGACCAATTAACCCCGTCCCCTTAATCAGCAGACTGAAGGAAGGAAAGATAAGGAAAAAAAATGCTATTTAAAAAGTGACAGAAAAAAGTGATTTAGAAAAGTAAAAGCTGCTAGCAAGACCCCAAAGAAGAAAATACAACAAGTACAAGCACCAGAAATCACCAGCAGACAAAAGCAAAAAACTTTTTTTCACTCTCCACTCAAATTTCCAAAATTTTTTAGCTTCAGCCAGCAAAACGTGCCAGATGCTTGGGATATTTGTTTACAACCTAAACCTGCTTTAAACTTCTCCAAAACTTTATCCCTAACCTGTCTGGTGTGTTCCTTGGCTTTCATGCTGCTGTTTGTTCACTAATGTTCTTTAACAAACCTCTGAGGGCTTCACAGAACAGCTGTATTTATACGGAGATTAAATTACACACAGGTGGACTCTATATACTAATTAGGAGACTACTGAAGGCAATTGGTTCCACTAGATTTTAGTTAAAAGTATCAGAGAAAAAGGGGCTGAATACAAATACACACCACACTTTGTAGATATTTATTTGTAAAAAATTTTGAAAACCATTTATCATTTTCCTTCCACTTCACAATTATGTGCCAGTTTGTATTGGTCTATCACATAAAATCCCAATAAAATACATTTACGTTTATGGTTGTAACATGACAAAATGTCGAATATTTCAAGGGGTATGAATACTTTTTCAAGGCACTGTATGTAAGGGTTTAAAACCACTAAGAAAACGTAAACCAACTCAGGAGATCTTCTACTGCTCACATCTTCATCAAAAATGCTAACTGCTTGGCTGTCAACTGATCCAGGACTAAAATAATTTGGGGGCACTTAAAACCAGTAGGTAGATCAGGAGTTTTGCATGCTTGTTGTGAAACGCTGCCAAAGAACTGACATCTAACAGCCAGGCAACTGACATTTTCAGAAAGGGCTCAGCAACTGCAGGCTCTCTTTCTCTCAGTACAGTCATTATACCTGTGGGCTGAGGTAAGATGGAGGGGGACTGTCCATTTTTACACCATCCTTCCTAGGTGACCTCTTCCCAACATTCAATTCTTCTTTGGGGACATCAGGCTGCTCACCGCCACTCTCTCTCATCTGCCTCCTCGTCATCCGCCTCTGATGAGCTGCTGCTTGTACTGCTCACTGAAGGGGACTGCAAAACAAAACACTATGTGAACTTCCATTGAGACCAATGCAAGACCTTAAGTATACCCTGCCAAGGAAAATACTCCACCTCGTCTTTAAGCGCCATGTTCTCCCCGCCGCCATTGAGTTCACTATGAATTCCATTCATGTTGGCTACTACTTCTGCGTCGTCATAGTTGTTCAAGGGATAAATATGAGCAAATTTTGCTGATAAAGGGGTACCATCTTCATCATCACTACCACTGCAAAGAAAGGGACCCAATTCAGTTATCACACCATGTATCATTTAAGATCATATGTGCCCAGAATATTTCAATTTTGGGTGGACACTAGTAGGTTAACTCACTGAACCAATATATCTTTCAAAGACTCCACTGTTAGACACATTACTGTGTGGGGTCTGATGCGAAGCCATGATAAGGATGTCACAGTTACAGCGGTTTCCTTTAAGTATTTGCAATTCCATATGTAACACTCATTGATACCATCATTTGCTTTTTAAAGTCTATGTCAGATGGAACTGTATTTCTTATCCCATACACAGGGGGTTAGTGTGAAAGACTTAGCAAGCAACCATACAAAATGAAAATATCAGTTTTGAAAAGAGCTGATCTTAAATGTAAATGTAAGGGACTCACCCCAACAAACTAAGACATTTTGCAGCACAGCACAAAACTATCTTAATCCAAACCACAACTAATTGTGTCTCCATGTGTACCCTTCTTATGTGCACACTGATAGGAACCAGCAAAGATGCGGCTTGGGTGATACATAACACAGTCAACAGGCTCAATTCACAAAGCTACCATGTCAAAAGAAGTATCCTTATTTTCAGCGAGCGAGTTATTTTCAGGTTAGTCTAATAAAATGTTTAAAATGAAAGACATATTTGTGAAAATAGAGTGCTTTAGATTGATGTTAACCTTTTTGCTGCAGCATCACTTGCTGGAGTGAGAGAAATAGTTCTAGGGCCATTATTCAAGGTTAACGCTAAACCACTGATCGGTGGAGGCTTTTAAAGTGTTGCCTATAGAAAATTTAGGGTACCGAATATTGCCAGCATTTCACAAGCACGCACAATTTTAAGGCTTGCCATGTTTGGTATCTATTTACTAGATACAACCTTATCCTTTTATATTTTACCAAAAATATGCCCTAAAATGAACCTTAGTATATTGTTTTTTACTGAAAATTTGCAATTGATAAACCATTGGGTCAACATCCTGTAGCATTAAAATATGTGAAACTTCACCCATTGTATTCTTCAGTTTCTGCTTTCAGAAAATATATAACATTAGGGACACTATGTGCATAGCATGGAGTGTGTGTTGACGCACGTTAAAAATGCACCCAAGTTTGAACGACATGGATTTTTTATACACTGCATTGATGTGCCTTTTTCACAGTAGAAGCCAAAATACTTTATACTGTTCTTTGCTTATGCTGCAGCTGTATTGCTCTATGTTTAAACTCCACAACATCTTTATTTGCACCCAGCACACATCAACACAGCAAATTAGCATGAAACGGGCCTATGGGAAACCAAAGGTTTCAGCTTATTATGTTGGGACTGGGAGAGCAAAGCAGCCCAATGGATGTGGTGTGAAATGGGTCCTTAGGACATATTTTTCAGCTGCTGCTGTAATAAGTCTACCTCCATAAGGCATCTAAACTACAGCTAGCAACTTGTGAAAGGATGCCTACAAGGATGAGATAATCCCTCTACTTCTTAATGCCCAACCTTCAAGTTACAGGGTATATATCCAGCGGTCTACCAGTCCTCTCAATGAATGCTAAAAGAAAAGAAATGTTTACTTACCTGTTAGTTCCTCAGTACACTAAAGGACTAGTATTCATGAATCATGGGTGCTGCTACCTTAAAGTGATTGGACATTTGCAAAAACTTTTGCTAGGCCACCCCTAGAGCATACCCATATAACCCCATCCACTCAGACTCGTTTTTTTAGCAAGCAATGGGGTGTAATCAAGGTACAGAGGCGAGGGACCTGTTCCTTGTACTATATTCCAAGATAAGAAATTTACAGCCAAGTTGAATTCCTATTTCTGAATCCTACAGTATAAGACTGGTATTCATATACCAGGGGAGGTGCCCGAGCTATAAATCTGAGGGATGGGCATCAACATAGCAACCTGGAACTTCCAACAGGCCTACAAGAAACCCATATAAAAATATTCAGATAACAGCTTGAAACACCTTGCAGTCAAAACTTAAATCAGCTGAAGCCTGAACGCAATAGCAAAACAGGGAGGAGGGTGTTTCCTGTAAGGACCGACACCCAGGAAAAGTAAAATGGGATGCTGCACCCCCCCCCCCTCCCCCCCCCCAAAAAAAAGCTGTGGTAGACTAACAGCCCTACCAAAACCACATCCAGAGAATGTAAGGCAATTTCCTTATGTTTTGGGTAACTGGTCAAAGACAGAGGGAAAGTAAGACAATGTTCTCATTGAGGTGAAAATCGGTGTTAATTTTGATGTAAAATTTCAATTTTGTTTTAGTCAGTCTTTTGATGCCATTGTAGTTTAGTTTTATTTGAATCATCTAAATTGTTTTAATTTTAGTCTTATCTCTAGTACATTTTAGTCAACTACAATCTCCAGTATCAAACAAAAATATTGCTTTTTCACAAAAAAAAGTGCAACTTTAAAATATAACCCCCCCCCCCATAATGGCTGTAATGCCATTGCACATATTACCCAAGTATAAAACTTTTAACAGTTCTCTATTAATAATGAAAACAAGTATCAAGCAAAATTTTTATAAATAAAACCAAGTGTCGTAAACAAGAAAATTGCTTTTTGATCAGTTAATTTTGATGTGATATTTCGATTCAGTTTTAGTCATATAGTCTTTTGACTAAAATGCCATTTTAGTTTGTCGTATTTTAGTCACTTTAATTGAAACTGAATTTAATTTCATTTAGTTTTTGCTGCTGAAACCATGCCATCGACAAAACTTAATACTAGTGAAAAGACCACATTCGTTAGATAAAAAGGAAAGGTTTGGTCTCAAACCATCCTGCCTTGAGCAAAAAAGAAAAGGCTATTTACAAGATAGAGCTGATAACTAAAACATGCCTAACAGATGTGATAGCAACCAAGAAGGCAACTTTAAACTTGAGGTCTTACAACAGAATGTCTCCATTTGTTTCAAAAGGGGGTATTTGAAGAGCAGAGAACACCAAGTTACCAGATTGAGAGCCCAAAGGAATGTAGGAGATCAAAACGGGGGGAATTATATGAGCCCTGTAGAAAAGTCTAATAAGGGACTGCAAGGCAAAAGTTTCTGAAGAGAAAGGATAAGGTAAAAAGCTTGAAGGTACTCCGGGCCAGACGCTGGTAAAAACCATGCTGAAGAAAGGCTAAAATACATGTGATAGATGATTCTCTCAGCTTAAACATTCTGTCCTTGCACTATGCAAAGGCAACCTTCTAGTGCATTGGCAAACCTTATGGAATTTCCCTGCTTCCTGTGTTGCAGAGACAATCTGAAGGCTCCCAGTTCCAGAAAGTTGGTGGGAGTTTATTCTGGGAAGTATTTCTACTGGACAGTCAGGGAGTTGTAAACTCCATCACAGAATGACTGGCATCTGTGGCTACCACACTCCTGTAAGGGAAGAGTTTTCCCAATTCCAAGGAATGGCTGCAGTGAAATGCGGCAGTGGGAACTGCCTTGAAGCAGGGCAACCAGGAAGACCAGAATCTTCATACAGAAGCAAATTGAAGGGTGTCATTGGAATCTGCGTGTCCAGGAATTTGGACCTTAAGCAATCTTCTCCTGAGAGAGAAAGATTCTGACTTGTGTCCAAGATTAGACCCAGGTACCCCAGATGATGTGGTGGCTGCAGAGCAGACTTTGGAAAGCTGATTATTCATCCAAAGATTTAAAGTAAATGGATAGTCCACTGGACGTTGGCTGGCAAAGTTCTGGCTCACACATCTACCATCAGGAGGTCGTCCAGGTAACAAGAGATATGAAGGCCATCGGGTTGTAAAAGAGCCAACAAACGGTTTTGTGAAAAACAAGGGTGCATAGAAGAAACCAAATGGCAGTGCCACAAACTGGAAGTGCTGTTCTCCCACAGCAAAATGTAGGAACACCTCTGTGATGGGAGAATACGCAGATAGCCGTCTTGTCTGCCTACTGATGCAAGAAATTCCCCATGTCTGAGGGAACATATCTTGTTGCTTCCATTTGGAATTTTGGAACACAAAGGAATCTGCTTAGGATTTTTAGTCTAGTTTTGGGGAGAATGACCCATTTGATTTTGAGTGAGAATAGAAACCTTGAAGGTGTTCTTCTGAAGGAGCTGGTACAACCACTGTACTTCAGGTCAGTCATCAAATCTGCCTCTTTTTGGACAGAAGCTGGCAGGTTGAAAGGAGAGGGCAAGGAGAGAATCTCTATTTTGTACTCCTTTGAAATTAAAGATTGAACCCAGAGATCCAGGACATCTTCGAAAAAGTGGCAAAAATACCAACAGATGTGCGCTTGGTGGGCCAAGGCTTGCAAAAAAAGGAAGTGGTAAGCCTTGGTTTTGAGGTTGACATTTGGAGACAACAAAAGAGACTCGTAGAAGTACATTTCCCTCAGTTACTTCCTTGATTGATTAGTCAAGGGATTCCCCGGAACCATTAAATGGCATGTGTAGAAAACTTTTCTAATGAGTGTGTTCAACAGACCCAGATTTTAGATACAAAATCCCACATATGTGCCCAAAGATACGAAATTCATTAGACTTGTTGATGACATTCTTATGAGCATGGACACAAAACAATAGAGCTAGACACATTAGCTATTATTGTTCTAAGAGCAGGATCTTTAAAGCTCTATATCATCCTAAGTGACATATCGGCATGGATGTCACTCCACTTCCTCTTTCTAAATCTTTCTACAACTGAGCTCTTAGTATTCCCTCCAGCCCGTGCCCCCTCCCCCTGACTTCTCCATCAAGATCAATAATACAACCATCAGTCCCTCCCCTCATGCCAGGGTAGTAGGTGTAATCCTAGACTCCTATCTGTCCTTTCAGCCCCAAATCCAATCACTGTCCAAATCTTGTAGACTTCACATCCGCAACATCTCTAAGATAAGCCCGTTCTTAACCTCAGAAACTACTAAGCAACTTATTCACTCCCTTGTCATCTCCCACTTTGACTATTGTAACTCCCTCCTCATTGGCCTACCTCATAACAAGCTATCCCCTCTTCAGTCTATCATGAA